ATCAGATTTGCAGTGTGGACAGATCATGTTCCTAAACTGACCCGCATACGCAAAAGTGCATTACGGAGAGCACAAAATGTCTAATTATCTGCACACATGTGTGCTGCATGAGTAAGCACGTTGTCAGATCATGCTTATATGATTATTACCCTTTTCACAGACAACCGTGGTGTAATTCATGAACTGTAAATGATTGCTCTGCTACAACTAATGTGTATTTCGGCATTTGAGACCTAAAATAAGTCTCCTGTGATAAAAAAAAAAACACTGATCGTTTGTGATTTATGACAAGCGCTGTGCGTGGCGCTCTGACCACCGGTGTAGCGGACTCATCAAGGGTTAATGAGCAGCCGCAGACTGAACTGTGAAGGCGGAGTTGGTTTATCTCCGTTTGCGGAGTTATTTAATTTGACTTCGTTATAAACAGCAGACACGTGCAGCAGGGTGGTTTAGGTGCTCGATCATCTGCCCTTTTTTTTTCTCTCGGAGAGAAAGTTCCTTATTTGCACCCGAATCACCTATCTGCAACACCCACGACGCTTTTCGGCTTCGCGATCAACTCGTGCCTCAATCGTTAACCAGATTAGTCAACAAGCACCATTTATGCCTTAATCTTTTTCAACATGAACAACCAACTTTCTGTGCTGCTGTAATCACCCTGTGTGCTGTTCTACTGTGCTGCTGAGAGGTAGTTGATGTCTGCAGCACAGATTGATGACGCATGTCACCCAAAGATTACGTAAAAGTCACATGAAATCCGACATGACCGTTCACACTGCGGTTGCATTGCAGAACATCAGATCTGAGTCTGATTTAAGACCACATATGAAAGTGGCACAGATCTGACCTGAAAAGATCAGATTCCATGCGGTTTGGGCTGTCATCACCTGAGTCACATGAGGGGGAAAAAAATCAGATTCGGGCCACATTTACCTGCAGTGTGAACGTAGCCTTATTTTCATTGAAGGGTGTTTTAGTTGACAACATTTCCAGGGCTCAACAATAAGGACTGCCCGATGGCCCGGGGCCAGCTTGAGAGACACTCGGGACAGTAGACAAGATTGTTACTTGCCCGATTGGGCCAGTGCTGCACAGTCACTAAAGTTTAATTTGCCGATGACAGTGCAACCATTTGTCAATTGTGTAGAATCGAGAAACAGTTTGTGCTTTCAAGCCTTTAAATGCTACCCTCTCTGTGATGTCATAAACACCATATTGCTTTTCAGTTCCTCTTATCTGATTGGATATTGGGAACACGTAGCTGGTTATTTTTGTCTGTAACTTAGTAACAACCAGTACAGCGAAGAGACAGCAACATGGCGGCAACATCAAATTATGAGGCTAATGTCTTGGAAGCAGACATTTATGTGGGTACAACAGGTTAAAATGAAGCGGGGTTTGGCACAGTTTGTCGTCAGTTTGGCAAAGCAGCCACCTTTTGTTAAATCATTTAGAACTGCAATAAAATACCTGCATGTTTTCCATACTGCACTTTTTGTTTTCATAACACTTTGAATTATTAACCAGTATATAAAAATACATTAAACACAGTAACTTCTAAATTTACAGACATTAGCCCCTTTCACACATACAGACCTTTCCGGAAAATAGCCGGCAATTTTCCGGAAAGGTTGTATGTGTGAACAGGTCCTTTTTGAAAATACTGGTTAATTCATTCTGGCCGGAAAGAGAAGTTGTAACATTACCGGCAATTTGCCGGAATGCTGCGCTGTGTAAATGCAAAAGGAAGATTGCCGTAATAAGCGCGTGCACATCTAGAACGTGCTGACGTGAGACGTCTGCTTTAGCCAATCACAACAGTCAGACGCATTTACGTCCGTGCGGTTTGTGAGAATAAAAGCCTTTGAATATTTTTCCAGACACATTTAGCTGCTAGAAGTTAGTCAGATCACGTTTATATGTTCTTCTTAATGCCAACTGTGTAAATAATCATCGATGAGATGCTTATGATAAGCTGTTGTTTGTTTACCTTTAAGCTTTGCGTGTGCCTTTGAAACAGCCTGTGAGCGCCTGCACACGCACATATTATGAACATCTCGACATGCGAAAGTGATCCTGCGAAAGTTGTTCACAATATTGATCATCTACAGAGTTTGTAATTTAGTCAAATGTTTACAAATACAAGCGCAGCCGTTTAAAGCTCATTTGTGGTGAATGATGTCAGAATTTACCGGTATTTTGAAATGGATGTGTGAATGCTCTTTTCCGGAAAATTTCCGGAACGTCCTCGCCTGTGTGAACAGCGCTTTTTTGAATATACCGGTAAAGTCGTTCCGGAAATCTTCCAGATATTTACCGGTATCACTGTGTGAAAGGGGCTATTGTTTTGACGCATTATTTAAAGTATGTGTCTAAGAAATAGCTATTAACTTGTTGTTGTTTTTTGGTGGGACCAGAGAAAATTTTGGCAGGGCAAGTAAAAATCTGACCTACTGGCCCGACCGGTCCACTTAAAAAAATCCTTAGCGTTGAAACCTGATTTCTGTTTAATTGTCACTATTTATATTACACCACAGAGCGTCCTATTGAAGTCCTGGAGCCTCTCAAAGATGCATCAGCCAAGGAAAAGACTTCCACCACACTGTCCTGCAAGTTCTCTGCCCCACCAAAAGAAGTGAATTGGTTTAAGGGTCAAACAGCTTTGGAGGCTTCTAGCAAGTACAGCATGAAGCAAAAGGATGCCAGTGTTCAGCTGATCATACAAGCTTTGAATGCAGAGGACTCTGGAGAGTATCGTTGTCAGGCTGGTGTCTGTGAGAGCAAAGCTGTTCTCAAAGTAGAAGGTAAAGTCTTCATCAGGACATTGAAGCATGTTGTTACAAACTGCATGAACTTTATACATTCAACCCAATGCTGTGTGCAAGAGCTTGGCTTTGCTTATGGCAAACATTTATTATATAGCTACAGGTGGTGAAACAAAAGGCGTACTGGTCATGCTTTTTGATTTTTTTTCCTGACATGCATAGTGCGTAAAATCCAGATCACCAAACATCTCACAGATGTGGAAGTGGATGAAGATGGCGATGCTTTGTTCACCTGTGAAGTTAATTATGCTGACGAAGAGGTGCAATGGACGCTTAATGATAAGCCACTCTTCAACAATGAGGTCAACACCATAACCCATGTGGATAAGACCCATACGCTTTCCCTCAAGAACTTAGCACCTGAGGATGGTGGGAAGGTATCATTCAGTATTAGGGATGTTAAAGAAACAGTCTGCTTAAAGGTCAAAGGTAAGGTCAAATGAGTTACTAACTGTTTTATAGAAATGCTTTGCATGTATGACTAAAACAAGACTTTGGTTTACTTTTTTTGACCTCCAGAAAAGAAAGCCATCTTCTTGAAGTTGCTGGATGATGTAGTCGCAGAGGAGAAGGGTACAGTTACACTTAAGTGTGAAGCCTCAAAGCCGAGAGTTGCCCCTGTGTGGCGTAAGGAAAGTACAACTCTGTCGGCAGGCAAAAAGTATGAGCTTCTGCATGATGGTAAGTCCTTGGGACTGAGTATCCATGACATCACACAAGCTGACGCCGGAGAGTACAGCTGCGATCTTGGCACAGATCTCTGCAAGTCTAAGGTCACCGTTAGAGGTATGCCAACAAACTATCATATTGCTGATGTTGTGCAAAGACTCAGTAGTGAAAGCAGGTTAAGATAATTCTATGATATTTTTGCTCTTGACTCCAGATATCCACATTGGGATTACTAAGCGAATTAAATCAATTGAGGCCAAAGCAGGCGAGAACTGCACATTTGAATGTATTTTGTCCCGGGAAAGCTCAGAACAGTGCACCTGGAGTCTAAAAGGCCAACCTATCAGTGATGGAGGCCGTTTCCAGATAAGCAGCAAAGGGCGCAAATATACATTAATAATCAAAGCAGTCTCAGCTTCTGATTCCGGTGAAGTGGTCTTCTCTATTCAAGATTTGAGTTCAAAAGCAACACTTTCTGTTGAAGGTGAGAAAGCAAGACACACAATGGAAACTTGAACAACAAAAAAAACTAAGTGTTACACAAATCAAAGTGAAGTTTATTCATAAACTAATTTTGAGGATCACATGCTTATGATTGACACGGCTGGCCCCGAGTCAAGCTAATGTACGAACCACCAATCAGACTATTCCTAACCCAGTATAAATAACCAAACATCTTACCTTTAGTCATCTTCGTCTTGAAGAATCCCCCCTTCCACCCCTTCTCCTCCTCTTTTCTACAGGGCAGCACGGCGGCCCAGTGGCTAGCACTGCGGCCTCACAGCAAAAAAAGCCTCTGGCTTGGGTATCCACCCAACCGGACAGCATTTTCGTGTGGAGTTCATGTTCTCCCCGTGCTTGCGTGGGTTTTCCCCGGGTCCTCCGGTTTCCTTCCACACTCCCAAAAACATGAGACTTAAGTAAATTGACTAAACCAAATTAGCAGCAAATTCAATTCTGTCAGCAACACATCACCTTAGCAATCCTTGCGTAGCAGGAGGGGGGGGGGGTTCTCACGATCTACCCGAGCTCAAACTCCCCTCTCGCCCTGCAACGGGAGGGAGCTCCGGGCTCGAGGATCTTATGAGCTCGGGGCTCTCTCCCGGGACAGCATGCCAAACTAGCTTATTACCAATCATCAGCTATGTGTGAACCCTTGAAAAAAGGTTTTGCATAATTATGGCATATCTTGATTTTTGGGATGTAGGTGAAGCTCCAAGCATATCTAAAGAGCTTCAGGGCGTCAGTGCTAAAATTGGTGAAGATGCCACATTTACCTGTGAGCTTTCTCAATCTGGACTGGAAGTAAAGTGGTCCAAGGATGGCAAGTCTATCAGAAAGAGCCAGAAATATGAAATCAGCCAGGAGCAGACGCTTGTAAAGCTGACTATCCGCAATGTCACTGATAAAGACTCTGGAGAATACAGCTGTGAGGTCACAGGTGGTCCAACCTCCAAGGCTAAACTGGAGATCAAAGGCAAGCATATTAAACCTAATGGTTTTAGATTATTTCATTATATTCAGAAATATATAATGCATCCAATACAAAAAAATTCACATATACCTAAAGAGAAGATATGTTTATGTTTAGCAGATCTGGCCAACAAATTCATTTGTGAGTTAAAGGATGCCACTGCAGATGAAAATAGTGATGTGTCCTTTGAATGCGAGACTGCTCAACCTGCCACTAAAGTCACTTGGTTGAAAGGAACAAAGGAGATCAAGGCCGGAGGAAGATATGAGCTGACACAGAAGGGAGCTATCCTCATCCTCAAAGTGAAGGATCTAGAGAAGAGTGACAGCGAGGTTTACACCTGTGACATTGGTTCTACAAAGACTACAGCCAAACTGACAGTGAAAGGTAGGAACATGTTTCTATTAAGGGAAGAATTCCTTCAGAACTCTTTCTTTCTTTGTGTTCATTGCAATGTGTTGGCTTAGTTAGACTATAATAAATTGAAGGAACACACGTCTTATGGTATTTAGGCCCAATCCCAATTCTATTTTTGTACCCATACCCCTTCCCCAGAGTGTGAAGGGGAAAGGCTTAAAAATTTACCCCTAAGAAACGGGACACCACTACAACACCTGCACACGTAATCGCAATCTCTTACTACATATGACATTGATGATCACGACTGCTGTAGTTATTTCAGTTGCGTTATTTTTTGGTATTGATCTTTAGAAAATCACTGAAGGTATATGTCATGTTATTATTATGATATAATGTGGCAATAAGATCGTAACAGTACCGTGCATTTTCACTGTGGCCATATTCATCTATGTAAACGTAACGGAGGCCAGCTAGTGTGTGCTGTGCAGGTAAACCTCACTCCTCTGACCTCTTAAGGTGCTCTAGCGACAGACGCTAGAGGCCATGGTTTTTAGCCTCCTTGTTAAGGCTGATTTATACATATGCGTCAAACGCCGGCGTATGCTACGGCGCTGACGCATAGCCCTTTGCCGTGGCCATCGGCGTCGCTGACGTGCACCTCTCAAAAATTGTAACTACATGTCGCAACGACGCATAGCGCAAGCTCTGTGATTGGTCGGCTTGGTAGCGCTGATGAGTCTGGGCGGGACCGAGAGCCGCGCGATTGTTTACAACTGTGGAGTCCCGTGAAGGAGCTCCGGATGGAAAGTTTTGTTTTGTGTTTACCTCATAGTTAAAGTTGTTGCACGTCCGCCGGTTTCTGCCTCAAAATGAGCGAGTTTGAGCCACTTGTGCATCCCGGAAGTGTTCAGGAAAAGCAAGAAAGCAGCAAAGAAACTCGACACAGAGGAACATTTACACCTTACTGCCAGCTAGCGTTTCGGAAGTGTTAATGCAGACCAACAGAGACAGCGCACAGAAGTATAAATGCACAGCCACGCGCGTCACTTGACGCAGAAGTATAAATCAGGCTTTAGAGCAACCGACCCCCATGCGGAAGGTCGCCGGTTCAATACCAGCTCTGAGCGGGTTGGGTGGTGTAGAACCGTTGGGGTTACATAAACACAGGAAAACATCATTAACATTTTACCAGACACTGCAAAAAGCTCATACCCAGCCACTAGGCTTTTCTGAAGGGGATTCAAGTGTCAGAATGTTGTGGGACTGTGATACAGGAGCTATTATTAGGGATTATAGATGGCGAAATTTAGCGTTTTTTTATTTTAGCATTTTTTTAAAGCATGATGGTAAAACACAAACGCCGTAATGAATGTATTTAAATGTGTGGTAGATTGTTGTAAAAATTCATAATAATGACAGAAAAAAAACTAATTTGTGCATCACCTTATTTCCATGAGCAGCCATTTTCCCATTGTAGCTGGTGTATTCTGGAAAATTTTCTTACCCCTTGGTTTTGCATGTGGTCCTGAAAAATCTTTGTTTCGAGGGCTGTCTAGCCCTTCCATTTAGCCTTACGCTTTCAAGCTAAAGAGAATTGTGACATCCCTAGCCCTTCACGGGAATGCACAAAATGAGGGGTAGAGGTAAGGGCTAAGTGGTAGAAATGGGATTGGGCCTTAGTCTTGAAGTTTTTGATGGATTGACTAGCATTGTTTTCATGTTTACATTGCTTGTTTCAATGCATTATTGTTCACTGACAGAGAAAATTATCTCATTGGTGTGTATAACAAGGTTAAGATTGGTACATCAGAATCTCTACTAAGCTCATGTGTAGCAATGGTACTGATGTCAGATGTCATTTAGATCTCTAGAAAGTCACTTTGTTAAAGATAGGGTTAGTTCTTCATTTGTGTTATTGCTGAAATTGTTATTACGTGTGGTTTTTATTTCAATAATTTACAAGAAACCAAAGTGCTGTTTTTATGAGTTTACACTTTTAACCATCGAGCATTTGCATGTATCCTGAATCCTTGCCTAATTCATCTGTAATGTTAGTTTTTTTAGCTTTTTTTTAAAGATCAGAACAGTTTTTATAAAGTTGTGACAATTCCAGTGTTTGTCAGTATTGTTTAATATTTTAAAAGTGGCACATCTGCTTTTGTGCTGTGTTGGTTTGTGAGGTTCTGTTGGTCTTGTCTGGGCTTTGTGTGTATTAATGTAGTTCTAGTGCATTCATGTGATTAATGATCATTGTGCCTTGTAATTATGTTTTACGTTTTGATGCAAAACTACACAGAGCATCATTATAACAAGCTAATTCCTTCATCGTCTCAACCAAGCAATCCTCCATCGTGTCTTTTGGACGTTAAAACTGTGAAGAATCATTTTAAATATATGATACTTGTTCAATCTCCAGTGCTACCTGCCAAGTTCAAGGAACAGATGAAGAACCAACAGGTCACAGAAGGTGAGAAAGTCTTACTTTCCTGTATGCTTTCCAAACCTGGCTGCCAAGTGCAATGGAAGAAGGGAACTGAATGTCTAAAAAATGGGGGAAGATATCAGATAATGCAGAGGGACACCATCTTTGAGCTACAGATTTCAGAATTAGCGGTTGAAGACAGTGGAGAATATTCTTGTGAATGTGGAAATGAGAAAACTACAGCAAACCTTGTTGTCAGTGGTATGCATAAAACCTTATTCATTTACATGCATATATTTGTTGACTTAGACTCAGTGCATATGCAGTCAAGTTCACATCTACTCAATCCAAGTTATTAATTCACACATTTATGTCTTCACACAATCGATCTTCAGCTTTACCGGTGGTCTTCAAACATGAGCTACAAAGCCAAGAGTGCGAAGGAGGAGACACTGTTACTCTTAATTGTGAACTCTCAAAACCTGGAGTACCTGTTGTTTGGAAGAAAGGGACACAGGTGCTTCATTCTGGGGAAAAATACCTCATCAAGCAAGATGGGGCTAATGTTGAATTGAAGATTGCTGACCTCAAACTTGAAGATGGAGGGCAATACACATGTTTGTGTGGGGACAAGAAGACTACAGCAAACATTAAGATCAAGGGTATGAAATTCAATCAATCTTGGGAATGTGAATGTCTTCTTTGCCATATTTTATTTATTTCTATAGGTTTACTTGTATAAATAACTCATAGGTAGACTTTACTAATGAAACAAATCTACTAATCTTGCTTTGTAAGATGTTATGTGGCTTTATGAATGCTTTGTCTTATATCAGGGGTGTCTATACTCGGTTCTGGAGGGCTGGTGCCCTGTAAAGTTCAGTTCCAACCCCAATCAGACACACCTGGGCTAGCTATTCAAGCTCTTACTAGGCTTTCTAAAAACATCCATGCAGGTGTGTTGAAACAAGTTGGAGCTAAAATCTGCAGGACACCAGCCCTCCAGGACCGAATTTGGACACCCCTGTCTTATATTGTCTATTCTTGTCTTTGGATGTTTTTAATTTGTTTGTTTTTTCATGTTGGGCTTTTAGATATCTGTTTAGAGTAGAAGTACATCATATTAACAAACCATTTAAATGCTAATTGCTTCTTAGCGCTGAACTTCAAACGAGAACTACACGACATGAAGTGTCAAGAAGCAGACAGTGTTACTCTTCAATGTGAGCTTTCCAAACCAGGAGTTCCAGTGGTTTGGAGGAAAGGAACACAGGTCATCCATTCTGGAGAGAAATACCACATCAAGCAAGTTGGCTCTACTTTTGAGCTGAAGATCAATGATTTAAAACTTGAAGATGCTGGAGTCTATAGTTGCGATTGTGGCTTTAACAAGACTTCATCTACCATTACAGTCAATGGTAGGAAAGACGTACTGAATGTACAAAGCATTAAATCAACATATTATTTTGCCAAGACTGGAAAGACTTCTCTTCAGTTTAGTTCTTTAAGATTGTCTTGATGTGTTTGTGTAACATGGTTCCAACATCTCTTCGTGGTCTTTTAGCATTACCAGTGGTCTTCACACATGAGCTGCAGAACTTGGAGTGTGATGAAGGTGGCAGTGCTACTTTGTCCTGCGAGCTTTCCAAACCTGGTGTCCCTGTGCAATGGAAAAAAGGAAGCCATATTATCCAGTCTGGAGGAAAGTACACAATCAAGCAGATAGCTTCCAAGGTGGAGCTGAAAATCGCTGATCTAAAATGTGAAGATGAAGGAGAGTACACATGTGTATGTGGAGACAAGACAACCACAGCAATAATGAAGATCAAGGGTATGAATCATTCTTAATCTTGAGTTTAATTCTAATTATTATGCACTACTCTGACAACCTTATTGTAAACTTATTGAAGTGTTTGTGTTGTTAGGAGGTTTGTTTATATGTTTGTTGCATTTGTTATATTTTCAGTGAGATCATACAGTTGAGTTGAAAAGCAATGGCTGTATGCAATTGTTCATTTCAGGTGTTTTCATACAATTACAATGTTGCTAATGATATACACTTACACTTTTGGTAGGAAAACATAATTATTCTGGAATTGACTAAATATAACTTTCAGATTACTTGTATCCTGCTGTGGCTCTGCCTGCTGTGCTGTAATACTATATAGTCTGACAGACATCTGTATTGATGTTGCCTCAGTTTTTGTCGTCATTGCTCTGTTTCTTTAAAGGGCCATGAAACCCCCTCGTTTCAGCAGGGTGTTTTCACACCTCTACTTTGGAAAAAGTCAGCAAAGTGGGCGTGTCCAGCTCTGTTTAGGGGGAAGTGTCGGAGGAACTAAAGTGGGATGGTGTGGGAGTGTCTATTTGGGCACGCGCGAGTTTCAGAGTCAAAATAAACACACAGGAGAAAGTGATGGTGTTTACATGGACATCTGTAGTCGAAATATTTGCCAAATTATTAAATGGTGGACTTTAACTGCAGTTTGGCTCTTTCATTCAGGGAATTCATTCATGTCCCTCGCGACAAACGAGATATTTGATTCGAGGATCTGCTCTAAGCGTGTATTTTTCATGCAATGTTTGATACCGCACGGCGAATGAGAGAAAAAAAAACCTCTGCATTTCCCGGAAACTTAGATGCACTCGGCAGGTAGTGTCAGAAAGCCGCGTGTGTTATTCCGGTCACTAAACCCTACACGAGGTTAAGTAAAGTAACATGTTTACACTCGGTGCAATAGTTAACTTAGTTCGATACGAACAAACTAAATAAACAAAGAGCACTGGTCGCTCACTTACCAAATCTGTAGAGACAGGACAATCACCAACAACTAGAGCCGCGTCTTTATGAAGAGAATACTACAAGCGAATCCAGATCTCAGCATTTGCAGATGAAAACAGCTCTCAGGTAAACAATAATCCTCCTTAGACACGCAAGTTATTGTTGTCGAGCGTCGCGTACACTGTTAATCCACACGTGACTCCAGCTGAGCTCTCACAGAGAGAAAATGAAAACAAAACTTAACGGCAGCAAACTATAAAAGCAACACTTCACGCTTGTTTTGCCAACACAACGTGGCGTCTCTGTCGTGTAAACACGGTGATAGTAATGAATATTAATGAAGTTGCACAATAGAGTGCGCTGATTGGTTTGAACCAAGCCTTACTCATGCATTAATGCATCACACTGTAAGACGTAATAAGACACACTCTGGCTCAGACGTCCAGTCTGCACGCTGGAATACAACGCTATTATGTCATGACCGTGACGCAGCTTCAAAAATTCGTTTCAAACTGGAAGTACGAATTTGCTTGAAATAACGCAAAAACAACAGCTAAAACTGCTAGTGTTTTTAGCAGTGTGGGACACATATACGACTGTCAACAGCTCAAAAAATGTGTTTTGGTGTTTCATGACCCTTTAAGCTTGTAGTCTCGATTTCAGTGCAGTTCATATGTGGAACAGAATAAGGATAAAAGGCTTCATATGATTTTACACGTAATGCTTTATTTCTGATGTGAATGTGCTTTGAGCCATGGTTTTATTTATTCTTTGATATACCAACTGTTTGTGATTCTATCTGAAAAAATATATACATATTTTGATGCAGTTTTGAAGGCCCAAACACCTTCGTATGAATTGGGACTTCAAAAGCAGTCTACTGAGAAGGGGGCATCAGTCGCTAGTATGAAGTTCAAGAGTTCACACTTATCTGATGATTGATAATAAAGCTAGTTTGGCGTGCTGTCCCGGGAGAGAGCCCTGAGCTTAAAAGATCCTTGAGCCCTGGGCTCCCTCCCGTTGCAAGGCGAGAGGGGAGTTTGAGCTCAGGTAGATCTCGATGACTCCCCCTCTTGCTTGTTGTAGCTGTTGTCAGATATGGATGCTGAAAGGTGTACTCAGAGTTTAGCTAAAGCATTTGGATTAATTGTTTAGGGTGCTTGTTTTTGAACTGTGGGAGGAAACCGGAGGACCCGGGGAAAACCCACGCGACCACGGGGAGAACGAGCAAACTCCGCACAGAAATGCCGTCTGGTTTGGAAAGGAATTAAACCAGGGGCATTCTTGCTGTGAGGCAACAGCTCTAATCGCTGGCCACCGTGACGCCCGTTTGAAAGGAGGGAAAGTAGGGTTGGGTGGGGGTTTTTTTTCAAGACGAAGATATTGAGATGAGAAAAGTGGTTATTTATAGTGAGTTAAGGATCGTCTGATAGGATAATCAGTCATTAGCTAAAATTGGAACAGCTGTGAACAATCATAAGCACGTGATCCTCTCGAAATTTGTTTATAAATAAACTTCACTAAAAGTACTGATAGTCTGTGCTTTATGCTTTCTTGTTCATCACTCTCATTTGGACAAGCTAAACTGTCTGAAATCAGTCAGGCTTTAGGTGCTTTGATTTAATGGTTGTTTTCTTTTTAAATAGCTTTTGATTCCGAATGTTTGCTTGTTCTGCTTTATATTTGCCACTATAGTTGAACACAGCTGGCACAGGCATTGCTACTTGAGTTTAATGATCTTCATGGTTTTGCCCATGAGCCACAGTTTACACAAATGTGTCTTTTTCCATAGCACTAAAGTTCCTAAGTCCTTCAGCTGTCGCTGAAACAGACTCCCAGAGGCAGAAGAAAGACAAACAAGCAGAGCTCAGTGGTATGAAACTGATGTGCATTTCCTGTCTATCATGTACTGTGGATTATGTTATGTGCTGATGGAAATGTGAATCCCGTTCTTGTGAATGGAATGGCATGAGGCCATGCATTTGCTTTCGCATTACAACATGTGCACTCTGTTTTGGTGTATTTTGTTGCTAATCAAAGACAATCAACTACATTTAAACGTCTTGCTTAAGCACCCGACTTGCTTCAGATGTACTCTTCAAGCGTTTTTTATTTTTAAGAAGTATTGCTTGCACAGCACATTTTCGATCTAACAAAATGTTTTGTTTTATACCGATAGTATTTACGTAAGGGAAAATTAAAGTGCATTTCCCAGAGATGGGTTGCAGCTGGAAGGCCATCCGCTGTGGAAATAACGTGCTGGATAAGTTGGCGGTTCATTCCGCTGTGGCGACCCCTGATTAATAAAGGGACTAAGCCGAAAAGAAAATAAATGAATGAAAATTAAAGTGCATGTAGGCTGTTAGAGTACATTAATTTGTTGGCCTTTTAGTTGTTATGTTCTTATGATATGCATAGCTAATTAATTTTTAATTTTTTTATTTTTTTGCTTTATCTGCATCACTGCATGTTCCAGTCTCATTTTTACATTTATCAAATATAGTTGACTGTAGCTACACTTTATATGGTTGACTGCAGTTGTTTTATGTTTTCTATTTTGTACTTGCTGAAGTCAAAGGTGTATAGGATGGGAATGGATGAGAGTTGTAGGGAGATTACCAGCCTGCCCGACATGACATTCATCAATGTTAGTGTACTTGGTTTAAGGCTTTGTGTATAGGAGCACAGATGCGCTGCATTGTCAAATGTGACTGTCAGTTCCAAAGACTTAAATATCCTGAATATCAGTTATTATTTGTGTCCTTGTCCTCTGATTTGTTTTAATTCCACAATATATATATATTTTTTAGATTGGTCACGGAGATGTATATGAAGTGGTGGAGGTGTGTGTGATTTTTGGTCAATTTACTGTGCAATGTGGTTATTCTTTAGATATTCCTTTTCCCTAGGCAGTTTTATTCCTTATATTGCAGGGACAGTCTTTCATTGTTAATTTTGAATCTATGATTTTAGTTAGATTTAAATCTCTAGGATTAACACAGTTACTTTGTCTGTAGCAATTATCCATAAAGTTCTACAATGGTATTTGTTCTACAGCATTGTTATCAGGGCTCAACAATAAGGACTTCCCGATGGCCCGGGGCCAGCGTGTGAGATGCTCGGGACAGTAGACAGGATTGTTACTGGCCCAATTGGGCCACTGATAACCTGTTACTAAAGTTTGTGACTACTTGTCCATGTTTTGTACAGTGATGTTTTGTACAGTTTGACATCAGTTTGGCAGCCAAGCCATCTTTTTTTTTGCAATAAAATGCCTGCACATTTTGCTGCTTTTGTTTGCAAAACAGTTTGAATTTTGCTCATTGTACATTTATTAAATTTTTTTTAAATATTTAAATTCTAAATTTACAAACATTTTGACACATTTTTCAGTTTTTTAATTTGTGGCTAAGAAATAGCTATTAGCATTTTTTTGGTAGGGACAGTGAAAACATTGGCAGGGCAAGTAAAAATCTGAACCACTGGTCCGATCGGGCCAGTAGAAAAAATCCTTAGTGTTGAACCCTGGTTATGGAAGTAAAATGTTGCGGACATTGAGATTTACTATAACAACAACACCACCACATCATGTCAATTGCCTTTACATAGATTTTCTATTTTGGGATTTTTCTTATTTTAACACAGAATAGTTTAGAAAAAATGTCAAAGTTCTAACTTTAGAAATACTCAATCCTTATTTCAACAGCTCTTCCTATTAAATTCATGCAAGAACTGCTTAACCAAGTGGGTGATGAAGATGGCAGTGTTACTCTGTGCTGTGAGCTCTCAAAACCTGGAGTTCCTGTGGTTTGGAGGAAAGGAACTCATGTGCTTCATTCTGGGGGAAAATACACCATCAAACAAGTTGGGACTATTGTTGAGTTGAAAATCACTGATCTTAAACCTGAAGATGCTGGAGAATATGCTTGTGATTGTGGAGACAACATCACCACTGCTAGCATCAAAGTTAATGGTAGGACTGAGCTTTTAACCTTCTTTGACACAGAAACATCTTTTTTCTACAAGACTGCCCTTTATAGTGCCTTCACTTACCGTTGGGTAGGGTAAAATGTATACTGGCTGCTCTAAAGTTACAATTTGTTGGTCTAACTTATAGTTTGTTTAATACTACTGTGGTTGTTTTCGTTCAAATATTCCATGAACAAAAATGTAATGGGTCATCTTAGAAGTGGAAAGGACTTTTAATTATGCATAGTGTCAATTCATCTTGTAAGATCCTTTTCCTGGTTCAACATCTTTGCCTGATTCCTCAGCATTACCAGTGGTCTTCAACCATGAGCTTCAGAATCAAGAGGTTCAAGAGGGGGACAGTGTTACTTTGCACTGTGAACTATCAAAACCTGGAGTTCCTGTGGTTTGGAGGAAAGGAACTCAGGAGATCCATTCTGGGGGAAAGTACAACATCAAACAAGTCGGGGCAGCTGTTGAGCTGAAGATCGCTGGTGTCAAACCGGAAGATGCTGGAAACTATGCTTGTGATTGTGGAGACAACATCACTACTGCTAGCATCAAAGTTAATGGTAGGACCAAGCATTTGTTTGAACGTTCTTTGACGGATGAAAGTTTTTTTTATCTACAAGGCTGCACTTCATTATGCCTTCACTGAAGGTGGGATAGGGTGGTGTATGGTGTTCTGCCTTTATGTTTTATAGAGTAACAAGTTAAAAGCCTAGATCACAGGTGTCAAACTCAGTTTCATAAGGGCCACAGCTCTGCACAGTTTAGTTCCAACCCTAATTAAACACCTGATCAAACTAATTGAGTCCTTCAGGTGTGTTTGAAACCAACAGGTGTGTTGGAGCAGGGTTGGAACTAAACTGTGCAGAGCTTCGGCCCTCCAGGGATTGAGTTTGACACCCCTGGCCTAGATTTTATAGTGGTTTATCTTTATTATATTATGTTATGTGGTTATTGTTGTTAAAATATTCCAAGCTGATGTAAAAGCAGCAAGTCATTGTAGAAGAAAGTTTTACATCTCTCAGTGGAAAGGACTTTTGGTCATGCCAAGTGTCAGTTCCTCTTGCAAAATCCTTTTCCTGGTTCAACATATTTGACTGATTCCTCAGCATTACCAGTGGTCTTTAGCCGTGAACTACAAAACCAAGTGCTTCAAGAGGGGGACAGTGTTACTTTGCACTGTGAGCTATCAAAACCTGGAGTCCCTGTGGTTTGGAGGAAAGGAACTCAGGAGATCCATTCTGGGGGAAAGTACAACATCAAACAAGATGGGGCAGCTGTTGAGCTGAAGATCACTGATGTCAAACCTGAAGATGCTGGAGACTATATTTGTGATTGTGGAGACAACATCAGCAGTGCTAACATCAAAGTCAATGGTAGGAATGAGCTCATATTTGAACCTTCTACAATAAATTAGGATGTTTCTAATCTGTCGAACATTTTTTATAATGCCTTAATATGGGAGCAGTGGAAAAGGTGTTTATTGGCTGGTCTTGTGTAGTGCATTGTCTTAAAAGTTTGTAGCGTCATGATGGTTGTGTTTTTGCTTCCTGGAAGTTTTTTTTTTTTTATGGAATGGATTTAGTCCATGCCAAGTGTCAAGTTCATTGAATAGATCCTGGCTAAATAACTTCGCCTGATTCCTCAGCATTACCAGTGGTCTTCAAGCGTGAACTACAGAACCAAGGAATTCAAGAGGGGGACAGTGTTACTTTGTGCTGTGAGCTATCAAAGCCTGGAGTTCCTGTGACTTGGAGGAAAGAAACACAGGTGATCCATTCTGGAGGAAAGTACTCAATCAAGCAAGTTGGCTCTTCTGTTGAGCTGAAGATTACTGACGTCAAACCTGAAGATGCTGGAGACTATGGTTGTGATTGCGGAGAAAGCATTACAACTGCCAATATAAGGGTTGACGGTAGGAGAAGACAGATTTTTCCATCTTTCTAATATATTTGAAAGTCTGTTACATTCATCACATTTTGGAGAAATGTAAATGATGCCACATTTTATTATAAAGACAAATCTATTCTCTTTTTGGAATTGTTGTATTCGTGTATACCCCGTTCTTACTTTCCTAGAGTTCAAAACTACAAATTTATGAAATCTTGCACCTTATACCACTCTTTGAATTGACAGCACTTCCTGCCATCTTCACACAAGCACTGAAGAACCAGACAGCTGTTGAAGGAGAGAGCATCAGCTTCCAATGTGAGCTTTCCAAACCAGACATTCCTGTGGAATGGCGCAGGGGTGAAATTGGCCTTTGCCCCTGTGCTAAATATGAATTGAAGCAACATGGCCACCATGCACAACTGATCATACATAACCTTGAACCTGAAGACTCTGGTGACTATATTTGTGACACTAGAGACCGCCAAAGCGTTGCATATCTGGAAGTTAAGGGTAGGCTTAGATTGAACCCTTTATATGATAAAAATTCCCATAAACTTGATGACCCTGAAATGCATTTACTGCCTCTACAGCACTGCCAGTTCTTTTCAAATCATTTCTGAAAGATTTGGAAACTGAAACTGGGGAAAATGCAGTGTTTCGGTGTGAACTTGCCAAGTCTGGAGCCAAAGTCATCTGGAGGAAAAATAAGAGAGTAATAGAAGCAAGCAACAAATATCAGCTGAAGCAAGATGGAGCTGTTGCTGAGCTTATCGTTTACAAGCTGCAGGAAGGAGACTGTGGGGAGTACTCATGCGAGACCGAACATGATCAGACATCTGCCAAACTCACTGTAAAGGGTAGGAATCGCCTGTCCTTATTCTTCCTTCCTTCCTTCCTTCCCATAAATGATCATCCTTTGTTGATCACTCATTTATGCCATACCATCCAAAGTACTACATCATCCATTCTCTCTTATACACTTGTCCTTGATCTTAGATCATCTTACATTTCAGTTCACGTGATACTTTTTGATTTTATTAAAACTTCCAAAATCATACGTTGTTATATTATTTTTTTATTCGTTTGTTATTAGTTTTTGCATTTCATATATAAAAAGGATAGCTGTCTGTCTTGACCTGCAGAGAACTTTCTAGAAAAGCTTCTTGCGGATGCTAAATGGGGCCGTTTACTGGGCACTTTAATCATCTTTTTTAACCTGACTACTAAACGTTGTATATTTAGAGTAAACTTGTCCTAATTGCTGGTTACTTTCTTTGCAAAATGAAACCTGATTTTGTTTTCAGAACCTGAAATCACAATCTTAACTGGCTTGAAGAGCTGCATTGTCAACGAAGGCGAGGATGTTCATTTTGAATGCCTGGTCTCTCATGACAATGCAGTCATTGTTCAGTGGACGCTTCAAGATGTTCCACTACAGAACAATGAGATGAATAAAATAGGAATGGAAGGCAAAAGGCATACACTCACACTAAGAAGTGTAACCCAGAAAGACTCAGGCACTTTGTCCTTCCATGTGGGTGCCCACACTTCTTTTGCTTGTCTCACAGTGAGAGGTAAAATTTAGATTATCTAAACAAAGTCATTTGATTCAATTTATGTCACATCTTGAATTATCAAAGTGGGTTGCAAACACATGCACTGTTAGTACACATGTTGAGTACTAATTTCTTATATGTATTGCATTTATCTTCATTTGATGCATGCTTTAACGAATGTTTGCAAAAAACAATATAATCGTAAGGTTATGCTGGACTGCTTTGGTATGTGTTTGACCATTTCACTACAGCACAAATAATTTTAAAAATCACATTATTATTATTGTTGTATTATTGCATGTATGTTATGTTTTGCCTTGTCACGTGTTAGTCATCTATAACAGAAGTGCTGCAAATTTTTTACTGATTTTCTCTTAAGAAATTCACACTTTTGTCCTGACTCCATTTATAGACAGCAAAGGAGATTTGTTGACATCTCAGGGTGCTTTCACACCTGTGAATCGATTCAGTTGTTCCGAAACAGAGATTACAATTGTTACATTGTTGCTCTTTGCTCTTGGAGCGGTTCGCTTTCACACTGCAAAATTTCTAATCAGACCAAAAGAGCTGAAACAAGTCACGTGCGAGTAAACTCTCCTTACATTGGTCAGTGTCAAGGTTTATTTTGCAGCGTCCCGCTCAGCTGTCAGGAGAGGTGGTGGTTTGGTGGTGATTGACAGGGAGCGCACGCGCGGCGTGTCTGAGGAGAGACGCAGTGGGGAAGGGTGAGAAGGGTGCGCAACGATGCCTATTTGAGGACCGGGATGGAGACGCGATATTACCGGGAGATCATCACTCGTTTGCGGGCATCCGGAGACTCGCGAAACTTCCCGCAATACTCATAATTCTTTCTTCATCTAGCCGTAAGCCTATTACATATACATAAAATACTGTGATTTAACCGCGCTCGGATCGGATCGCTCACTGCAATCGAACCGCTCCAGGGTTCGTTTCAATCGAGCCGAGACCACCTCATTCAAGCGATCTCAGAGCGATTACTTTGGCGCAGAACAGAGCGCGATTGCCCTGTTCAAATATGCCAAACGAACCGCGCTAACTGGGCAAACGAGACACGTTCCGAAACAAAAGTGTAGGTGTGAAAGCACCCTCAGTCTTCGAATTTGCATGTTTGGGGTATTACACATGTCTTAGAATGTGGTCTGTGTATCACTGTTTCCAGCAATCCCAGTGCTATCATTTACAAAGGAGTTGACAAGCCAGGAGGTCACAGAGGGAGGCAGTACCTCGTTACGTTGTGAAACTTCAATCCCTGATGCCAGTGTGACCTGGAAGAAAAACACTCTGGTCTTGACTGATGGAAAAAAGTATTCAATAAAGAGGGATGGCACAATCCATATATTGGAGATCCATAAGCTCTCGGTGGAAGATGCTGGCGAGTACACATGTGAAGCAGGAGAAAAAAAAAGCAAAGCTACATTGACTGTCAAAGGTAAAATCTTGATTCTTCATAAGAGGCAAATTCAGTGATTCAATGTTCATCTGCGAAAACAAAATTACAAAATATTAGCATCTCAAATTTAATTAAGTAGTTTTTGATTTAAATGATATTTTTCAAAATCGTGTAGTTTAAAAAAATGTTATTAGGTAATAGAGATTTACTTTTAGTAGATAAAACGTAGCATAAAACAAAAAAAATCAGTTGTGGATATTTACCTCAATTGACTTTTTAGAAGGTCCTCAATAGTCCCTTTCATCACGTTCCTTCCATCCATTCCCAGAATGTGTAAAAATCACAAGAGAATTAAAGGATGTGACTGTGATAACGGGCGAGGATGCTATCTTCCAGTGTGAGGTGTCCCAAAAAGGGGTTACTAATGTCGAGTGGTGGCTCGGCTCCAACCACCTTCAAAACAATGACTTGAATCAAATCAGCTGCCAAGGGAGGGAACACAGCCTAGTGCTGAAAATGGTCACACCCGATGATTCAGGTGACGTAGCCTTTGTGGTTGGCCCTATGAAGAGTGTCGCCTACTTGATGGTGCAGGAGAAACCCAAAGGTAAAAGATAAATTATGGCTACAACTGTACGCTAGTAACAAGCAATCATCTGTCTGTTTTTAGGGAGTAGATGCCCTCATTTAATGCAATCATAACAAATGGCTTCTTGTTGCTTTTCCATCTGCTTTGGCCATTCTACAGCTACTCTTCAAAACAGCTTGTTTGTCTTTTGAGTTAGAGATTCTTTGTTTTTTGTTTCTGAAAGTTTTGGTCTTGTCTACAATTGTCAAAACATGAGTTTTGTAATTAGTAAACCTCTTTTCATATACCAGAATATTTGGTTTGAAGTGTCTGAGTTTCAGAATCTCCAGGCAGATTATTTGGTGTGACAGAACTTGGGTTTGGGTTTCTCCTGTCCATAGTTGTATTCTTAGAGAAGCCTCTGGACATAACTGCCAAAGAGGGTCAAACAGTCACACTGTCCTGCATGACCTCCGACCCTGAGGCTGCTGTCGCCTGGTACAAAGATGAGGAGATGATAAAGGCAGGGGGCAGATATCTGCTCTACAAGGATAGAGCCGTCCATCAGCTTCGCATCCTTAGGGTGGAGGAAGGGGATGCAGGGCTGTATACATGCAAAACCAAAGATGCAGAAAGCTGTGCCACCCTTACTGTTAAAGGTAAATGGGTTTGCAGGCCTGTGACTTTGTTGTTTTGAATTTATCAACATGCCTGAGCATAAAGTCAATGCAAATGGACTGCAAGACGACACAACTTATGTTCTGAAAATCTATCTCTTTGTAACTGCCTACCTTGTGATGCAAAGAAGATTGCGATACCTTGACGGGTATCAGCCTTTTTAAATCGGACATTTACAACTTCTTATAACTTCTTTTCTCATCCATCATCAGGTCAACCTGCGTACTTCCGGAAGGAGTTAGAGAACCAGAATGCAATAGAGGGAGATAGTATCATCTTGCGCTGTGAGCTCTCTAAGCCAGTTAAAAGTGTAGAGTGGAGAAAGGGAGGAGTGGTGCTACAACCCAGTAAGAAATTTGAGTTGAAACAGGACGGATGTGTGTTGGAGCTCCATGTCCATGATCTGGAACCAGAGGACAATGGCTACTACACTTGTGATGCTGGAGACCAGTTGACCACAGCATCAATCACAGTGCAAGGTATCAAAAACATGTTCAAAACATTTGCAAACTGTATTATAATTTCTGCAAACTTCTGTTATAGATCGAACAGACACAAATTGTCTTAAATGGGCTGGGAGTTGATTGAAATCTGTAGCTTTTGAAAAATGTACTTAAGTCCAAATTTTACATGACCTTTCTAATGCATCCTTAATGTGTGTAGTACGTTTAGACACCAGTGATCTCTGGCTATCTGTGTCTGGTCTCTGCAGAGGCTGAGGTCCTCATAGTATCGGGTATAAAGAATACAGATGTATTTGTGGGCGAACAGGCAGTTTTTTCCTGCCAGCTCTCTCGTCGTGCCAAAGGCAGAGTTCAATGGTGGCTAGACGGCACTCGTTTGGAGAACAGTACCTTCAGTGAAATAAGTATGGGTGAAGATCATGTCCACACTCTTACCCTAAGGAACCTTTCTCCCAATGATTCGGGTACAGTCCTGTTCAAAACAGGTGCCCTGACGTCCTCAGCCAAGCTGTTAGTGAAAGGTACCATTTGGGTTGCAGTGGCCTGATAGTACTTTGCAGCTCTGAGATCTAAAAGCTTAAAATTATGCAAATACCATTGGACTAAATTTGTGTCCATGAATTTCCTAAAAACAGTCAGTGTCTTATTTTCTAAAGCATTTTTTGTTATAGTTAGCTATATTTTTTGTTATAGGGCCTTTTTTGTTATAGTTAAGCTGTTGGACCATAAGTCTAAAATAATGTCTCAGTCAATTCTTTTGCGGACTGATTGTTAGTCCTTTGAATATTGTTGTGTGCTTTAAAATATGCCATACATTCACATTACTACCGAATTACTTATCTTTAATATTATTAATAATACTCAAAATTCAATTTGTCTTTGCACAGACTACCCTGGATAATTCTTTGCTTAAATGGTCATAAAACCTCTCTGTCCTGCATCTGTTAGTTCACTGAAAAAATGCTGTCAACACACAGTAGGTATGGTCAGCTATGCAGCGGATGTTCTCATTTAGTCATAGCCATAAATAACCTCCAAATATTCACACTGCATTTATCGATAATAAGAAAACAATTCACCTTCTGCATGCTTTTGCAGCTCACAATAGTCTGCTCTTCAAAAATATGAATACAAATTTATACAAACTTTTGCACACAGTATACTGATGCCATTGCATCTCTTGCATATTTTCAATTGTCGGACATTGGACTAGTTATATCATACACAGATACTCTTAAAAAGTTACTGTAAGCTATTTCAGTTTTAAATATTTATCAAAGAAAAGCAGTGTGTTGTCTTGAGTAATTAAACAAAGCTTCTTCTTATAGAATAAAGTACAGTTACAAGCATTGATGCATCATAATCATCATCATGCATTTCAAACTTGAAAGATGAAAATAACTCAAAAATATAAAAATTAACCAGGCTTTTTGGTAACCAACCAACAGACAATACCATTGTTTTCTGTAATGAGTAACAAACAACTCTGTTAAAACTTAGGTAGGCACATAAGGTAGTTTAGCATTTCATGACCCTTTAAGTGATTAATAATGCTATTAATAATGCAACCCTGATTTTTTTTATTATTTTTTTTTTTGGCATTAACCAAACCAGATTTTTTAGATGCCAAGACCTTACATTATTTTACATTATTTACATGCAAGTAAAAAGGGTTGATTACAAATTCTATAAAATAATATATTTTTGGGAGATTCATGGATGCATGTTGTCCATGTATTTTTGTCTATTTGGCTGCAGTATCATGGCTTGCTAATTACTTACTAAATTGGCATACTAATCTTTAAATTACACTGATTTTGGGCTTACCTATTGTCCAGGCCTCGATGCTAAGGATGTTTGCTGGTTCTGATGTTTTGTATATGTTAGGACTGTGGAAAATGTAATTAAATTCGTATTAATCAATCAAAATTAATTGTATTAATATTTGCTGAAAAACCCTCCCCCACCCCAAATGGATCAATTATTAAAAGTTTCTATAATCAGTATACACTATTTGTTTTAATTGGGCTTTATTGGACAAACAGTATATACTGTATGTCATAGACTTGCATGTAATCTAAATCAATCCATTATGCACTCATCAACCTTAACTACACTTTTACTGCATGCACTTGTTTCTAGAATTTGCCATTAGTTTGATTTGACACTGCAGCTAGGCCTCTGATAATTGTTGTTGGCCATGTCCTTGGTCAGTTTGGAGTAGAGAAGCAAAAGATTATGCATTTACCATACTTAATATTTGACTTTATAAGACTGTGGAAAAACTTACTATTTGAATGCTTCCAATTAAAAAAAAAAAGCAACAGCTACATCAGTGGCTTAGATGGTAAATGAAGTTGTAGTGGCACCCGAGCCCGGTTGCATCAGAGCACTTAAGCTTACAAATAACCTTAACAAACAAATTAAGTATTCCATTTTTATTATCCAAGTGTTATCCCTTAAGCCAGGGGTGGCCAAACTCAGTTCTGGAGGGACTTTAGCTCCAACTTGCTTCAACACACCTACAAGGATGTTTCTAGACTGCCTAGTAAGAGCTTGATTAGCTAGACCAGCTGTGTCTGATAGGGGTTGGAACTAAACGTTGCAGGACACCATCCCTCCAGGACCGAGTCTGGACATCCCTGCCTTAAGCATTACTACAAATCCTAAGCTACAATTTCAACTTAAATTTAAGGGACCAAAATAGCTCTTTTAAGTGAACTTAAAATCAGAATATATACAGTATATTCATAAATAATAAAGCAATTAAGAGAAAGTAGCAATGAAAATGCAATACTTTTTGTGTAAATAAGTAATTGATGAGTTGTACAAACTTTGGAGATTTTGCATGTTGATCTAAAACAATAATAGTCTTTCATTCTCTGTCCAGTTTGGTTTGTTTTTAGCTTTCTGTGGTGTTTGTAGGAAAACATGTTAATACAACTGTGGTTTAGCAAAGGTTGGCTTTGCGGTTCATTGAGTTCTGTTTACTTTGAGATGCAGTAACTATGGCAACTACAGCACTTATTGTCGTATGTTGCCAGAAATAGTGACATGCTTCATAAAAACACTTTGGTAAGGGTGGCAGTTTAGAAGTTTGCTGCAACGTTCTAAATGATATCCTTTGGCTCATGGATTGTCCCCCTCATGGATACCCCTAAGTCAAATTACTTAAGGGCATTCATGCAACCGGGCCCAGGCTTGCATTTTAGTTGCGATTTAGATTAAATTCCACCTAATAACCGAATAGAGGCTTAAGTTGACAAATTTACTCCAAAGTGCACTGGGGTTCTATAAATATTACTTATCCCCACCACCAACCCTCTATAGATCCTAACGTGGAGGTGGTCAGTGCAATGGAGGACCAGCATGTAGCAGAGAAGCAGCCTGCAGAGTTCATCTGTCAGTACTCCCGGCCTGTCAAGGCCATATGGAAGCGAAATGGTGTACCTGTGCAAGCAGATGGTCGCAGGGTAATAATGGAACAGGACTGGACTGTTGCGCGGTTGTACATTAGCTGTGTGGAGCCCCAGGATGGGGGGATATACTCCTGTGAGGCAGAGGGAACCTCTGTTGTGGCACATCTCAGGGTGCAAGGTGAGCACACCTGTAGACTGAGGAAAATCTGCGTGTCATTTTTAATAAAAGTTGTATCATCATACAAGACAGTTGTGACTTACACAAATAAGGGCCCACCACAAAGGATTTTAGTGTAATATATTTAACATGTTGATGATTTCAATCACATACCACAATTTCAGTGGTGAAAATGAGTGAAATGTTAAAATACTCTGATCCAGATTTGAAATCTAACGTGACACACTCATTTAAATTTTTGAACAGTTTACAGTAATTATTACAGGCACTTAGATAATAATTAATTTTTTTTACCTGCATTTACTCAAGCCAAAAATGTGTTTTATTGTTTATTAGCAACATCATCTGGCTGGCTATGCAATAACTACGAGCTAAATCACAGCTTTGTTTGCTTATCGCACTACTCAATGCTAAATGCTACAGTATATGAACGCTTGTATGGTTTTAAAATGTTGGAAGAACTTAGTGCAATTTGTGTTTACTTCAGATGTTGTTTTAAGGTCAAAATGTCTTGTCTAAATTCTTTCCAATTCATTGTATTTTATAGCAGTTTGGTTAAGACTGGTGTTTCACAGATGTTGGGTCTTTCTTGCAGCTAAACCCATAGACATTCTCCAAGAGCTGAGTAACATGGAAACCATTAATGGTGGGGAAGCACTTTTTGAATGTTCCTTGTCACGACCTGAAAACAAAGATTGCCAGTGGTTAATTGATGGCAAACCTGTAAAGGAATCTGCTAATGTGGAGATTGTTTCATTTGAGAGTGGTCGACGACATCTTTTGCTTTTAAAAGACTTGCAGCCTTGTGAAAACACAAGGATTACATTCCAAGCTGGCACTTCATCAACTACAGCCCTTCTGACTGTCAAAGGTATGATACTTTTTATTAAGAATAAGTTAGATAGAAACGTTTTATGACATGAGTTTTCCGAAAGAAAATGTATCTTTAAACTTACAGGCCCAACATATTTTCTATTAAAGCTTTTTTTTATTTGCTTTTTTAAAAAGCTGCTGTTAAATTTTATGTTTTTTTATTTTACTTTTGAACACTAATTAAACTTAGGACTTTAGACTTATAACATATACATTAAACATGTATAAATAACAATTTTTAATTATTCACATTTTCTGTACAGCTTGGCAACTGGAGGTGGTCAAACCATTGGAAGACAAAACTGCAATTGTAGGACAAGAAGTTGAGTTCACATGTACTTTAAATGAAGCTGTGCCTGAGAATGAAGTGACTTGGTATGCAAATGGAGTTGAGCTTCAACATAATGACCAATGGGCCATGAGAACTAGTGGTTCTTCCTATAGCCTCATTTTGAAGAAAGCACAGGCTCAGCCCACACAAGAAATCACATTTGCAGCTCGGGATGCCTTATCATTGGCGAAACTAACTACAATCGGTAAAGCTTCATTTGGTTAAATGTTCGTTTAAAACTTTCCATTACTTGTTGTCTAACCTAGTCTCAACTTTTCTTGCTATTTGCAGCTGTGCCTGATCCCCCTGAAGACCCTGAGCTAGTGAGTAAAGGCCCAACCTTTATCACCTTGTCTTGGTTTACCCCTCTAAGTGATGGTGGAAGCCCAATCATTGGATACCGTGTGGAAATGCGTCTAGTAGATAGTGTCCTCTGGCTGCCCTGTCACACAGAACCAGTTTTTAACACTGAATTTCTGGTTGAAAACCTCATACCAGGGGCAGGTTACAGGTTCAGGGTGGCAGCTATTAACCGTGCTGGCATTGGAGAGCCTGTCCAGCTGCCTCAAACTGTGACACTCGGTAAGTGGACACACAGAATTATTTGAATTATTCAAAGCAATATTACATGGTGAATACGATGTATGTTGATCTAACCCGACTGCCTCTGCAAGTGTGCCTTTACAGTGTGCCTTAGATGAGGGTTCCTCACTACAGGTTCTGGAGAACTTTCCTTCAGAGTTTAATTACAGCTATGCTCCTGGAACAAACTGACACAAGTTTATTATTTGCTTTAAACATTTTAAATTAGAGTTGGAACTAAACTCTGCAGGAAAGAAGCACTCTTGAACTAGATAAGAAGAACCCAGCCCTAGATGCTATAGTAGCAGTAGAGCACTAAGAACAGTTTCAGATGGGTGTATTTTGTAGTTGTTGTAAATAATTTATGAAGAACCCCTCTTTGTTCTTGTTGAATTCTTGATGGATTCTTTCAATTCCTCTTTGATTGGACTTCGGTCTTTAGATGCACCAGTGACCATGACCAAAAAGTTAAGCACCTCTGAGCTTCACAAAGGAAAAATGGTTCGTTTGGAGTGTGAACTTTCTGCAGAGGGCAAATCAGTAGCATGGTTCAAGGACAACAGAGAAATAGAGGTCGGGGTCAAATATCAAATGGTAACGGAGGGCAAGAGCCAAGTTTTGCTCATAAAAGATTTCCAAACTACAGACCAGGGTGTCTATTCTTGTTCAGCCTCGGAAGAGGCAAAGACTTCAATCAACCTCAACCTTGAAGGTACTTTCATTAAACCTCGATTTTGGCTTGCTATACTTTAGTGTCATTGTTGTTGTTTTTTGTCAGTTTTTATGTTTAGAAATATTTTCTGTATGTTTTTGTCACTGTTGAAAACTTTTCTTTTTGATTTTATTTACAAGATTAGTCTCTTTTCAGTCTCTTCCCAGCAACTTTGTTACAAATTAGAATGTTTTCTGAAGCATGTACTAAATATTTTAAATACAAGTATTTTATATGTGCAGATGTTAACGACATTTAATGTCTTAGCACGTCTGTTTTTGTCTAATTCATGTTTAACCTCATGTTTATGTTACTAAGCTTTAGTGCCACTTCCGGGTTACCAGAGTTTTATTGCAGAAGTTCCAGTTGCAGAGACATATTGTTGATTTGTTTAATATGAAGTTTTTGTCCAAAATAAAAATGTTTGAGTGAGACTGATTTATGATGGCTCCATGATTACAGGACATGATGGTACACTTTCTCAGGATGCGGGCAACCAGCCCAAACTGCCTCCTGAGGCTGCCTCTGAAGGAGATTTACATGCTCTGTGGGAGGCAGAGGCCAAGAAGAGAAGAATGAGTCGAGAACCCACATTGGATTCAATTTCAGAGTTGCCAGAAGAAGATGGCAAAGACAAAATGCAAAAGAAAGATGAAAAAGAGCCTGCCAAAGAAATAAAAGTGAGACCTGTTGAGCCAGGCCCAAAAATCACAGCAGAACCAAATCTCTATACCAGTTCTGATGAGGAATCTCTGAGTGGAACAAGTTTGGTGTCTTACCTTAAGAAAAGCAGCAAGTCCTCCATGACAGTGGAAAGTCAAACTGAGACTGTTGCCTCTAAGAAATTGTATGAGCACTTCCAGATGACTGAGCAATCTGTTACCAAGACATCTGTGGAGCCACTCATGGAAGCTCAGAATGGGGATGAGTTGCAAGAGGCTGCTGTCAAGATTCAGGCAGCCTTCAAGGGTTATAAAGCTAGGAAGGACATGCGACCAGTCTTCAAAGAGGTATTTAAGGAGCAGACTAAGGAGCCCAATGGGACAATTCATCTAGAGTGCATTGTGGAGGGTAAGCCAGATAAAGTTCGCTGGCTGAAGGATGGAGAACCCTTAACAGATGGCAAGCACCACCATATTGACATTTATAATGATGGCACCTGCTCTCTAGTAGTGACAGCTGCCACAACCAAAGACACTGGTGTATATACATGTGAAGTCACCAATAAATTTGGCGTTTCCACCCATAGTGGGAAAGTCACTGTAGGGTCACTGCGAGAATCAGTGCGCCGACCGCTCACTCTGGGGTACAGTGCTGACAGTGAAGCTGAGAGCTCCTCAGGGAGCGAGATGGATGAGACTTTACGTCAGGCAAGTAAACGGCTACGGCGACTTCTTCGTACCCGTCTTCCTCCTGATGTGGAGGAGGAACCTTTTGTGAGTGCAGATGAAGGAGATTTACCCCCACAAGATCTTCAGTCCTATCGGGAAGATGACCAGTATATCTACATCCGATTTGATAATCGTACAGAAGCTCAAGTGGCTTCCCTGCGGTTCCAGGAAATGTTTACTTATCAAGGAGTGCCAATAGAAACAGCCATCATACCAGCGGCAGGTGCTAAGGTAGAGCTGCGTATAACAAAGATGGCCCTCTCTGAAGATGGCTCCCGAACCCCAACTCAGGACCAACCGATGCCTACTTTCATGACAGGAGCACCTGGTATGACAACTCTTCCATATAGTATTACTACAAATGTTTTACTGTTGTTTGGTTCTTCATGAATTTGCATGGTGCTGTGTAAAGTTTTGTTTGTCAGCACTTTTGATGTTTAATAAATGTTGTAAATTGCTTTAGATGTTAAAGCAATGGCATGTCATGTTTTTGCCTGGTTCAGCATTCCTGCTCAGATTTTGCTTTGTTCTGTCCTTTTTTGGTTTTATTTGCTCTTCGTCGTTATCTTAATTGCATAACAACCTCCCAGCGGCACCTGTCTTCATGACGGAGCTTCGTAGCCAAGATGTTCCTGATGGATTTCCTGTCAGTTTTGACTGTGTAATTGTGGGCAAACCCCCTCCCACTGTAAAATGGTTCAAGGATGGAAAGCTGCTGGAAGAAAATGATCACTACATGATCAATGAAGATCAGGAAGGCCGTCACCAGCTGATCATCACAACTGTGCTGCCCACAGACATGGGAGTGTACCGATGCATGGCAGAAAATGACAGTGGTATCGCCTCCAGCAAGGCTGAGCTGAGGGTGGACAGTGAGTACACTGTTAAAAGAAAATGCTAATTAAAACCCAACACTCACTAATTTACTCAAGAAAGCAATGTAATCCAAAAAGGTGTATTAACAAAGATGACATTTTCTTTTACCAGTCAATATGTGTAGCATGCAAATGCATGTGCTTCCTGAAATTAATGGTTGTTTGTGACTAGATGGACCTGAAATGCACATAATATATATTATCAACATATTTAAGATGAATGTTATTATTACTTAAATTGTATTAGATAAGCACAACTAATCAAAAAGAATTAGTCCTTTTACTGCAAATTTCTTTTCTTAATTTATTTTAATACTGATTATTGTTGATTTGAAAATCTAAAGTTTCAATTCCCCCCCAAATATTAATGATCATCATGCACTTACCCTCATTGCATTACAACAAAGCCTGATTTTAAATGAAGTTTCTCAAACTAATTTCGAGAGGAGCATGTGATATGATTGACTGCAGCTGGCCACTCATCTACACTCATTGGCTAGCCAATCGGATCAATCCAAACTCACTATAAATAACCTAGCTAAGATCTTCGTTTTCCGAAGAAACCCCCCATCCACCCCTTCTGCTCCTTTCCTCTTTGCTGAGGGGAGCTCTCGAGAACACCTGACCTTGTACTCACCTCATATGCTTTATGGACCTGGCGGGAGCCCTGGGCTCAACTATCTCTGAGCTCAGGGTTCTCCCCCGGGACAGCATGCCAAACCTGCTAACTTGCTAACAAGTTGTCAAACAGTATCTAAGTGTGAACTCTTGAAATTCTTTGAAATGGAAGTAATCTTAAAGTCCCCTCTCACCATGGCTCAGAATTATCACTTGATATAAATCACTTGTTACTAACTTTTTGAATTGACTATATTTGGATTTGAGAAGTTGGACACAGGGCAGGATTCTTTTTTTTAGCTTTATACTTGCAGAAATTTTGTAGCTTTACAGTTTTACAAGCACTCTGGATATACAATACAGCAATATTTAATGGAAGGTTAAAAAATGACAAGGGTAACAGTAAATGCAGGGTTCAACGCTAAGGATTTTTTCTACTGGTCCGATCGGGCAAGTGGTTCAGATTTTTACTTGCCCTGCCAAAACTTTCACTGGCCCCACCAAAAAAAAGGGAAGTTACTTGCTACATTTTAGCCGAATATTTTAAATAATGTGTCAAAAATAAAGTCTGCGAATCTAGAATTTCAATACTTTAAAAATTGTTGATAAAAGTGTTATGCAAACAAAAAGAGCAGTATAGAAAATGTGGAGGTATTTTATTGCGGTTCGAAATTATTTAACAAAAGGTGGGTGGGTGACTTGTCAATCGGCAAACTTTGCAAAACATCACTTTTTTTTCACAATTTTTCACAATTACAATCACAAATTTTTTTTGTTGCGTTGTTCACACGTAAATGTCTGCTTCGAAGACGTTAGAAACAGACATTTTCTTTTAGCCTTATAATTTGATGTTGCTGCTATGTTGCCGTTTCTTCGCTGTACTGGTTGTTACCAGATTACGGAAGAAAATAGCATGCTCAAAACATCAAATAAGAGTAGAGGAACCAGAAAGCAATATGGTGTTTGCGACATCACAGAGAAGGTAGTGTTTAAAGCCTTAAAAGCACAAACTTTAAATGCACGCAATTGACAAATAGTCGCAGACAAATTAAATGTTAGTGACAAGGCAGCACTGTCCCAATAATGATCCTGTCTACTGTCCCAAGCGTCTCTCACACTGGCCCTGGGCCACCGGGCAGTCCTTCTTGTTGAGCCCTGAAATGATTTTTATCTTTTGGTTGAAATGTTAAAGATAATTTTAATACTCTTGATTTTTAAATATTGATTCAGTTTTGTCACTGCATACAGAGTTGATTCCTGGCTCGTAGACCTTTCCCCATTCTGTGCCCCTCTCTCACGTTTCATTTCCTGTCATTATATCGTCCTTTCAAAAAAAGGCCAAATGCCAATAAATAAATAAATATTGATTTAGTTTCTTCTATTTAAAGTGTCTTGCAGTTCAGACTATGACACAGCCGCTGATGCCACAGAGACATCATCTTATGTCAGTGCTAAAGGCTATGTTTCCAGGTAAGATTTATTTATTTTGTGTGTGAGCACTTTTTTGTCAATATTTCAAGTAAAACAATTTTTTGTAAAGATGCTGTCAACGCATATCTCATTTACATTTCACGCTTCTAAATGGGCTTCCGCTTTGTTTGGTTTGCTGTTTTAGTTCGGAGCACAGAGACACAGAGGCTTTTGAGTCAGTGGCAGAGGATGAGCTACTTCCTCAGGTTGTCGATGAGCTACATGATTTGTTCCTCAGTCCTGGAGCACCCATAGCCAAAATGAGTGTCAGGGTCAAAGGTAAGCTGTGTTTCCTTCACGAATGTAAATTCTGTTTAATTTCAGGTAACCTGTTAATTTATGCACTATTTATTACAAATATATTCTTTTTTTCCCATCGGTTGTAGTGTTGTCACGATACTGGATTCTTAACAAACATTCACAATGGTCACATCTATCTAATGCAAAGTCTTACACTGCAGAAACGAAAAGGGTTTCAAATGTTTGTTTGTTTTTTTGTTCAACATCTTTCTGCAGGATTTCCCACACCAAGGGTTTACTGGTTTAAAGATGGCACCCCACTTCAAGCCTCCAGCAGAATTGTATTGTCAACGGAGCGAGATCAGCACAGTCTTGAGATTTTGGATGTTAAGTGTGAAGATACTGGAGAATACTCAGCTTACATTAGCAATATAGCTGGCTCTGCTTACTCTTCAGCACGAATGAATGTACTGGGTAAATATTCATCTTATACTTTCAAGACTTATATGTGGTCGCTTATGAGGTCTTCGCAAGATTGTGACAGAAAAAAGGGTCTGCTAAATCAGTGGTTCTCAAAGTGGGGGTTGGGACCCCCAATGGGTCGCGGGACAATGAAGGGGGGGTCACCTGGTGATTTCCAAATATCAATTTATTTTTATTAAACCATAAGAATTACCATATTTTATCCATAACCTACTGAAAAGGGAAAAAAAAAATTGTTTATAGTTACTATATAGTTACTATAGTAGCTCATAGTTACTAGTTCTATTGGATTGCGACCCCTGGGGTAATCATTATATTACAGACTTAGCAATAGCATCAGATGCAGCAGATTGATTTTATAATACCAGGTTAAACTTTCCGGCACATTTACAGCACTTACATACATAAATAAACGAAGAATAGACTTGGGTCTATTGGTGTGTGTGCGTATTTGCATGCAAGTTTTCTGTATTTATAACCACCTCAGGGGATATTGGGGGTCGAGAGTCACAGGCATTGTTAGTTTGGAGGTCACTGGCTGAAAATTTTGGGAACCCCTGTGCTAAATGACTAAATGAGATGAAAGCCCATTGAAGTTATCAAATATTATTATTAGTAAACGGTCTAAATCTTTTTATGATTTTATATTATATTATATTATTATAATATGTTAAGTAAATACTTAATTTTTCTGTTTGTTCTTTACTTAATTTTCACTCATTAGCTCCTGGAGAGCGGCCAACACCTGATCAGGGACGTCTGAGAGGTAAACATCTGTAATGTTGATATTGTTGCAAACACCACATTGTAGTTCCACATGGCGTGTAGACAAAGGCACATGCATTTTAAAATTTGCACCAATTATAACAAATTCTTTGCATGCACATAATATGCTCTACCACATTTATTATTCCCACAAATAGATTCAAAGGTGCCACTTGTGCCACCGCGCTTTCTGGAGAGATTCAGCAACAAGAAGGTGAAACAGGGAGCAAGTATAACGCTGTCAGTCAAAGTAGAAGGTAAGTTGTGTCACTACAATTAAACTTAATGTCTTTAAATGCACATTTTGAAGAATATAGTGAATGGCCTGTCTCAATTAATGTATGTACTGTAGTTATGGACATTTTTGGTGATGCAATATATTGCTTATGTTCCGTGCAAAAAATTGATTGTCACCAACATTTTTAGCCAGTCATTCTGCTTGTCATCTACACATGTACAGAGAGAGAAGGTTTTATTAAAGAGATAGTTCACTCAAAAATTCTATTTATTCATCATTTACTCACCCTCAAGTGATTCCAAATGAGTTCCTTAATTCTATTGATCACAAAGATATTTTGAAGAAGCTGAAAATCAATAACTGTTGTAATCCATAGTAGGAAAAACCACTACAATAGAAGTTAAGATTACAGGTTTCTTCAAAATACTTTCAAGGAAACTCAAAGATTTGAAACAAGGGAGAATAAATGATGATAGAATTTTCAGTTTTGGGTGAACTATCCTTTTAAGGCATTTAACGTTTTTATTTCATATTAACTACAATCCCAATATTAAGCATCACAAATAGCACAACTGGGCAGATTGTCAATATCCAGCATTTAACACCTCTATCATGCCATCAAAAAACTAAACCTTTCAAATTAAAATAATGTGAACTTTTAAATGGAGCCATGGACTCTTTTCACAAGATTGCTCAACGATCACCATAATCTTAAATCCTTGAAAGTTTTAATTATTTTGTAAAATAAAATAAAAAAATATGTATGCATTTATATGTATGCCCGCATGTATTATATCATCTTTTCATCAAATAAAAATAAATAAATAAATCACTGCCTGTGCGAGGAGTTTATAATGCAGCATCTATGAGAAGGATGTTCTCTCTTCCGGTTGTCTTTAATTAGTCTCAAACTATTTTTTTCAATTTCTAAAAGTCTTAAAAACACCATCATAGAGTTTTTCTTTTAATACTTCAGCAAATAGGATTGTAAAAAAAATATTAGTTTATTCTCCCATTCACTGGCCATACCCAACTATGACGACTTGCGTGACTGAGAAACCCGAAAATGTGAAAAGGGTCTTTTAGATGGCTGCATAAAGTGGTCTTATAAGGACAATAACAGAATTGATAACAATGACAACATTTGGGACTATATATTGCACAACAAAAAGTAATTATCATGACAGGCCTAGAGTGAAGAATCAAGCACAGCATTCAGTTGGACATCACATATTACAAACCACATAAAGCCAAATGACTGTCTTCCATAGGTTCCCCAACCCCATCTGTGAACTGGTTAAAGGAAGTGTCGGATAAGGATGTCTTGTGGATCAAGGCAGACACACCAGGTTACAAGGTGGCCAGCTCTGGCCGTCAACATAGCCTAATCCTCATGGAAGTGGAAAAGAAACATAGCGGCATGTACACCTGCATTGCCACCAACCGTGCGGGACAGTCAGTCAACACAGCCCGACTGGACGTGGATACAAGTAAGAGATCCCAATATTATTGCTAGTATAAATGTGACCTTGGACCACAAAACCAATCAAAAAGTTAAGTTATCATAAATTGAGATTTACACATCAACTGACAGGTAAATAAATAGGCTTTCCATTGATATATGCTTTGTTACTTTGGAAAATCTGTAATCTGAGGGTTTGAAAAATCTAAATTTTAAGAAAATCACCATAAGAGTTTTCAAATTTCAAGTTCTTAGCAATGCACATTACTAATCTAAAATAAAGCTTTGATGAATTTACAGAAGGAAATCAACATTTTTGTCTCATGCAATGTATTTTTGGCATTTCCACAAAAATATTCCCATGCAATGACTAGTTCCCTGGTTCAGGGTCACATACTGTATGTACCTTTTTGGAAAAAAAATTCAAATAACGGGTAATTGGTGTGCTTATTGTCTTCTGTCCAACAGCACCAGAGCAAAAGGGCAAAGTTGGTCCAGAGTAAGTTTAAATATACTGTAAAACCTTACTGTTTTTAGATTTAAGATCACTTTATACTAGGGCTGCACGATATTGGAAAAAAATGACATTGCAATGTTTTCTTTTTCAGGGATATACATTGCAATTAAAAAAAAAAAAACTTCACTAGATAGAATGAATGAACTCTTTTGGTGTATAATTTTTATTTCAAATTGATTAGGGTGATTTAATAGAGGAGTGCATCTGCGTAAATGATTATAATTATTTTAATGCACACTTTTTATTTGATGTTTGATGTAATCTCAACTGAAACACGAAGAGAGGGCAGGGCATACAATAACTGCCATAACATATAATAAATAAATTTTGTTTTTAATCAAAGCTCTAAATTATTAAAATTAACTTTAAACTAGATTTTTAGTGGTGAAAGAAACATACAAATGAGAGAAAAAAATGCTTTATTTTATATTTATCTGGTAAGTCTTAGTAGCAGTTAGACACAAATATTTAAAAATACAATGCAAATTGACACTTGGTATGTAATGTATTTTTTATTTATTGCCATGTCAGCAACCAAGGCTATTTTCAAGGCAGGAACCTTTTAACAATAAATTTACAAATTAAAATCAACAAACAAAAGAATACATAAATTAAATAAGATTTTTAGTGTTGATGCATGATAAAAATTCCAAAATCTTTTCTGGTTTCACTTTGTTAAAAATGTCCTTAAAAGAGTTAATTTCATAAAAAAGTCTTCTGGAATCATTAAAAGCAGGACAGTCCAGTAAAATGTGTTTAATTGACACTTGGTAGTCTTCACTGTAAAATTGTATGTTTGTTCCAAATGCTATAGTTTCTTGTGTCTGATTGCAATAAACTCACTTGATGTGTTTAACAGGAAAAATAATGCAATTAATAAACTTTAAATGATTAAACTTTGTCATTAATCTACAACCTCCTGGTCAACAATAGTCCCTACTTGACATTGAAATCCTGCGATGTAAATATTTCGCACATTGCAATATCGATGCTGAAACTAAATATTGTGCAGCCCTACTTTGTACTAAACATCCATACAATTTTAGAGATTTGTTTTTGTATTTCATTACAAAATGTTTGTCTCCAGGGTTCTAGGAATTACCATTAGCCCACCTGAGGAGGAGGGCAAAGGTAAAAATTATTTATATTAATAATTAGCATTTTTTAACAAGTTTTTAATTTTGTTAACATGCTGTCAAATTATATCAGAGATTGACTGACATCAATTTGCAACAATACTGTACAAATGATGACTGCGATAATCTGTGATCTCAGGGGAGATCAAACTGCCTTACATGGGTGAAGTGGGTACTGAGGAATTCCTACAAAAACTCACATCGCAAATCACAGAAATGGTATCTGCCAAGATCACACAAGGTAAGAGAAACCTTTTTTTAATACATAATATGTAGTAAACGAAATATAGATGTTTTAGCTTGCATTCCCACATTATTGCTCTGTCACCTACAGTATAAATGTGTGTACTGCATATTTACTGTGTTGTTTTGTAGAATTAATAGGGGTGTAACAGATAACGGTTGATCCGTGATTCGTACGGATCACAAACATACATTTGACATTTTTTACTGGTAGATTAATAAGAGATCGCCTTTCATGTCATTCAAATCACATGTATAAAAGCATTTAGGCTTTCCATCATCATTATATTGTTATATTTAAACATATATTAAAAGTTATGGTGGGTTATTCAGGATGTGGTGGGTTTCATTAAAGGTGTGTTCTGTCACTACTTGTTTAGCCTGCATGAATGGATTCAGTGTAAGCTGCACGATTAATCATTAAAAGATTAAGACTTCAACACCCACGCAACAAATTATAAATTATAGTGATTTGCATATTAATCCTTTGAATCGCTGCATTTAAATCTGCTTGAAAAACGCAAAAATCAAGAAAGAGATTCTGTTTACAAACAACACAGAAGTACTAGGATAACAGTTTAAAGTTTAGATATAACTGATAAAAAAAATCACCATCATGTGCATTTAATGACACTCAAAATTAAAGGTGTAGGCAGCAATTACATTATTCAACCAATAGGTGGCAACAACGAGCCATCAAAATCATGCCACTGAATAATTCTTCAGAAATGACACATCTAACAATGAAGCATGAAGTTTTATGAGTGAATAACTGAATCATTTATTGAAAATTAGACTAAAAATAAATGTGGGTGGTACAAATGATAATGTTAGATGTTTACATTTAGCGTTATCAGCAACAGTAGCAGTGCATTTTTCGCACTACTAAATATTTTACAATTTATTTTTGTTGGTCAATTATTTTTTAATCTTATTTTTAATTAAATTACAGCTTCTACATTCTGTTTATTAAAACCAAAAGTGTCTCGCTGTACTGTTTTTGTAATAAATAGAAAGCAAATTGCCTTCTCCCTTTTTTGGCTGATTGGGAAAATGGTTCGTTCCGTGACTTAAAAAACGTTATGTGATCCAAACGTTAGATTTGTGATCTGTTACACCACTAATAATTTTTAAATATTTTGATGTAGTTTTTCCTCTTCAGATCGCATCCTCAAATTTACTCAAAACAGTATGCACTGTTTATGCATGAGCCTAGCATGTGTAAAAAGGCTTGAAAATTATACGAGTGGATGAACTGATAAGTGGAAGTACTGAAATAGAGCACACATTGCAGATTCACTTTTTAAATGATTAATCAGCAAACAAAAGCAAAAAACACTGTGTTTTCCTGGACCTCGCTTCTGTTTTTTTTTATATATATATTTAAACTTGTCTCTATGGATCCCCCAATTCCTACACACTTCACTGACTCCATTCTTTTGTCTATCCATCAAACTATCCATCCATCCTCTCATCCCTCTATTCACTCACATTCTCATTGAAGCATTGATTTGTTCAGACAGCTTACAGAACCATCAAGTGCTCCAGTGGATGAAATCGTGGCCCAAAGTAACCAGTATGTATCCGCAGAACTTCCAGTGTAACACATCAGAAACTTGACTTTTCTCCATCGGTCTATGCATTTGTTAATCATTTTCCTGGTCTATTTCACTGGCTTGCAACATTTTAACCAATAAAGTAGATCATTTAAGACAGTGGTCACCAAACTTGTTCCTGGAGGGCCGGTGTCCTGCAGATTTTAGCTCCAACCCTAATCAAACACACCTGAACAAGCTAATCAAGGTCTTACTGGGTATACTTGAAACATCCAGGCAAATGTGTTGAAGCAAGTTTGAGCTAAACCCTGCAGGGACACCGGCCCTCCAGGACCGAGATTGGTGACCCCTGATTTAAGATATATTTAATTTAATGGGGAGTAAATGCACAAGGACTTTTGATTTTCAGTAAGCCAGCTCAGGTGCACCCGCTGAACTGGCATGCCCTTAAAACTCACCACGTTTAAGGTCTTGTTTCTTTCAAATCAATGATCTTCACTGCCTGATTAGTAAATATATGATATGAAGTGACTCTTAGATCAGACAAGAACCACTGATTTAAATTCTGTTGTCATATGCCATGTCGGTAAAATATGCTAAATTGATTTTACTACAGTGTTTTCAATGGAGTTTCTATGCTTGCCTGCTGCTCTTTTCAGTTTTACATCTTGTTTTCCCCTTAAACTAAACGAATGCTTAAGTCTATTTAGGTGATTATATGTTTACTAAATTATATTATCGATGCTGTAGAAGGAACCTTCTGAATTTTTAAAAATAAAAAATATATTTTAAAAAAATCACCAGAAGTTTATTGATGGCAGAAAAACATTAGCTGTGCATTTACCCCCCATTGTAGCCTATATTGGTAATTAAGTCATGGTTCTTTAAGCTCAGGGCCATTTTGTCACAATTAATAATAAACTGGAATTCAATGGAAGAAGACTGTCTCCTTTTTTCAGGTTCAAGGTGTCTCTGTTTCAGTATACATGAAGACAGTGTATGATTGCTGTATTCATTTAGATGTATGGAGTTGCATGAGAAATACATCTGTTTATGTGTGTGCAAATGTTTTTTGTTTTTTTTTTTTTGGTAGCTTGATATAGTGTATGCTGAATTACAGGAGAAATATGATGTCGTTTTAGTTAATATAGTCACATAACTGATAATGGGGTTATACACATTTAATTGGTGAGCCCAAATAAAAAAAAACAACCTTTTTTCTGTCCCTATGGTTATTGCGAAAACATTTAATTGCAATTAATCAATTACAGTGTTTACTTCATTTATAAAACAACAGCATTATCTTACTAGTTAGTTATAGACCATTTCAATGTGGTCATGTCATTGGCCCATAGACATTTCCTGCTTGTTATCAAACTATTTAATAACTGTAACAAGAAGCAATTCAATCATAACTTAATGTTAAAACTGCTATCATAACAGTGTATATCAATATGTGGCTCTTTCATGATTCTCGGAAGCTATAAAAATTAAAGAGGTAAAACAGGAAATACTCTGGGGCCATTGTTTTTGTTTACATCCCTCAAAATGGTCGTAAATCCAGTGGCTCCCATGTTTTAGAACTGAGTTAGGCTATTTAACACATTAATATTAAACACGTTAACAGCTTGTTAGCACGTTTTATCAGAAAATAACCAGATATAGCAATTTTCACCTGTTGTACAAGAGTACGACCTACTCGTTGTCGAAGTAAAGATAATTTCTGCTTACCTTCTCTTTGGGGTAACACAACGGGGCGGGTTTCTTCTCAACTTCGCAATATTACCGCAATAATTATTAACAGTTTCGCCAAATATATTGTTTCACCTCTTTTTACGTCGCCGAGCTGCTTGACTTGCAAGCATACTGTATGTACGTTTTTAACTACGTGAAGTAAATGAAGTACGGAGTCATCGTACGTAGCTAGCTTCAGTTCGGTAAGTTCGCGGTTTTTTTTTTTTTTTTTGGTTTTTTTAAACACGCGCGCAATATTCCTCGGCGAAAGCGTTTGTTATCGCGAGACTAAGTAGCCTAGGTGTAATGTCAAAATATATATATATATATATATATATATATATATATAAAACCTTGCCATAATTTCTGTGTTTTTTGGGTAAGCAAGTATTTTACAGTACTTTAGAAATACTCAAAAATGCACCTGTTAATGTTTTCAAACTATTCTATTTGATTTACCAAAGTCACACAAGTGGCAATTTAACATGTCACATCCATAACAACACTTTTAAATCCATAACAACACAAGATAAATGTGAAAATATTATTAAATTATATTTTAATATTACTTATATATATATATATATTTTTATATACTCTGATCAAATAATATTAAAAAATTACCAATCCATACCAAACACCAATATTTTGTTGTTCTATGCACGGGGTTGATTAAATGACATAGGAAATGACCTTTCTCTATGGCACCTGTCCCACAATTTTGGCACCACTTAAACAAACTTAAGTACATATTTTACAATATTTTGTTCTTTAACACTTTAACTGTTCCACCAAGAAAATAAATTGAATTGCATTTCTTAACTCCTATGTCGCTAGTTAACACAATCAGTGCATTTACTTTCAACAAATCCCATAATTTCAAACATATCAATCACTACCAAATGGTAGATATGTCGGTTTATGGTAAAAGTACTGGAAGTAATACTAATACTATGGAAAATCAGAAAAACAAAGTGTAAGACCAATTTATTTTAAAAAAATCTAAAAAATATTGTTTTTGAATATTAAATCATCTTCATTTTTTTAAGTAAAAATATTTAATATTCTCATTTAACACATTTTCTTCTCAAAAAAATTTCTATTAACATCCAAATCAAGTGTAGTAGTGCAAAATGATTATGTTTGTTTGATTTTTTTGTAAACCAGTAATGCTGTGTGTGTAAATCATCATTTAAAACAGTCATTTAAATCAATCAAAATATCAGTCAACCATTTGGTAGATCAGGTAATTAAAGGGTTAATTTAACATTATCTCACAGTTTTTTAGCAATACAGTGAAATGTTGATAATACCATATATAAAACATTTTTATTTCTTGCAGTAACTGGGCGTCCCTGAATGTGTGAGCATAGACATGTGCCTAGCATGCAGAACAAGAGCCCATATGATGCCAGATACTATACATAATGTGTCTTGGATATTAACTGAATTAATTGACACATTACTTTGCTCTCTCCCTGTCTGTTCTGTCTCTGTTTGCTTCAAGCCTCATTACGTTTGCCAGGAGCTGACAGCGATGATGAAACAAAAACACCATCTCCATCTCCATATCACGGCCGATCACGCCCTCCATCTCTGATCGCAGACTCATCATCTGAGTCTGATGAAGGAGATGCCAGAGGAGAGGTATTACAAATATTGCACGCTCATGGTCATCAGTGAAATATCATACATGCATATATGAAACATTAGACATGTATTTATCAATGCAAAAGCAATTTTTGTAATTTTGTCAATTTTTATGCATCAGATTATTATACAGAGCAATATTTGTAAATATTAGGGTGCTCATTTTCTAATACGCGAAGAGGGCACTATACATTTTCAATTTTTAACACACAAACCGCAAGAGAACAGACATGGAATAAAAGTAATGTGTATAAACAGCAACGTCAATCAGAATATTACTGGTAGCATTTACAGAGTGTTTAGCAATAATAGTCATAATGATAATAATAATAATATCAATAATAATACTAAAGTTGGTGATGATTAAAATAATATTCTGTGATGACCACAACATACAAGTATATATAATGACACATACTCAATGCATACCACGTCTATTCTAGCTTCTGTATCAGTGATATCAAGTTTCTCCTTTGTCCTCTACACATTTTCTAAGTGTTATTTCTATGCATGTTTGCAGATGTTTGACATCTACGTGGTGACCGCCGACTATAATCCAATGGGGGTCAGTAAAGATGCCATCGCTCTCAAAGAGGGCCAGTATGTGGAGGTTCTGGACTCTGCACATCCACTTAAATGGCTGGTCCGCACCAAACCCACCAAATCCAACCCGTCTCGCCAGGGATGGGTCTCACCTGCGTATCTGGACAAAAGGCTGAAGGTCAGTTTAGTGTTAGCTTCATTCATAATCAACTCATGTACATAACAAGACACTGAGTGGTTTCACAATTTGGCACAAGGGCTTTTTAAAGTATTTACAAGTGTTTTGTGTCTATTAGATTTTCACAGACATCTATTAGACATCTTTTAAAAACAAAAAATGCTTGCTGGGTTCATTTATAATCAACTCATGTACATAACTGGACACCGAATTGTTTTACACAAGGGCATTTTAAAGTATTTACCAGTGTTTTTTGTCTTAATAAGTATATACTGGTTGTGCTGTAGCTTTCTGCAGATGTAGCAGACCTCCCGGAAACCGCCAAAGAAGAAGTGACTGAAACTGAGTACAAGAAGAAACTATGGTAAATTTAGACAGATAAAGAATTGCTTAATGGACATTTTATACAATAATACAACTTTACTAATTCTGCCTCTCATCTAGTCAACTTGTTCAAGACCTGATCAACACTGAGACTGAGTTTCTGAAGGAGATGGAGTTTTTCACAACACACCATCTTAAACGTGTGGATGAGGAGGGCGCGCCGCCTGAAATCACCATGCAAAAAGAAACCATTTTCCGTAACATCAATGACTTGAAAGCGTTTCACAGCAGGTACACAGTTCAGACAGCCAAAGAAGTTGGTAATTTTACAACTGTGTGCTCATTAGCCACTTAGTTGGACCCCTTTTGTGTTCAGAATTGCCTCATTTCTTTATAGCACTCATTCAGCAAGGCATTTTTGACCACAGAACTGGATATTTTTAGTTTTCTTTAGAACATTCTGTTTAAACCATTATAATATTCATGCAAGCACTGTCGCCTCACAGCAAGAAGGTCGTTGGTTTAAGTCCCTGATGAGTCAGTTGGCATTTCAGTGTGGAGTTTGCATGTTCTCCCTGTATTTGTGTGGATTTCCTTCGGGTGCTCCGGTTTACCCCCCAGTCCAAAGACATGTGCTATAAGTAAATAAGATTAGATAAATTGGCTGTAGTGTGTGTGAGAATGCGATAGTGTATAGATGTTTCCCTGTACTGGGTTGCAGCTGGAAGGACAACTGATGCGTAAAGAAACATATGCTGGAATAGTTGGTGGTCCATTCTGCTGTGGCGAACCCTAATGATTAGGCACTAAACCAAAGGAAAATTAAGGAATGAATGTTCATGCATGATAGACTAGAAATTTTTAGATCAGATTTTAGCACCAACAACCATGCAGTGTTCAAAGTGTTCAATCACCAATTTTGCCCCATCCAGATGCTCAGTTTATACTTACGCAGGTTTTCTTGACTATTTCTACATGTTTTAAAGGGTTATTAAACCCTAAACCCTACTTTTTTAATAAGATTTCAACATGTTGAACATTAAGTAGGCAATGTTAGCATGTGTTAGCTTTAATTGTAGAGAATAACTGGCTAATATTGAGCTGTGATTGGCTCTAATGATCACTGGTTAACAAAAACACAGATATTTGAGCATCTGAAATCTGCGTCTATCACCTGATCCATCAGCAGATCAACACAATGTTTCAACTTTCAAACTATCCAGTGCCCGATGACTTTTCTGTCCCTTCAAAACAATTTAAAAATAAGCACTTGTTTGAATAGATAATCAACTCTATTCGTGTTCAATAAAAAAGGTCAGGAGAGGTTTTTTTTCAATTTCAAAAATCTGAGTAATTTATTGGATACAAATGAATAATTCAATTCACAGAATTCTGATATCCCCAATGCAATGCAAAAATTACATTCACACAGACATTCACAGCATGTTTCTTTACGCATCAGTTGTCCTTCCAGCTGCAACCCAGTACAGGGAAACATCTATACACTATCACATTCGCAACAACTTTCATTTACGCTCTTATATGCAGATGATATTTACAGGTGAAGTTTAGTGAAATTCGTCACTTGTCAATCATTCTCCAGTCCTCCATTGGCCGCACCCATTCGCATCTTCTATTAATTCTCTGCACAACGTCAAAGCACAAGACTTCTCAACTGCAAATTCTGTTCATTTATCAACCCATCTCTGCAGCGAAGCTTCCTGTAAGCAGAGCAGAGATGGGTTGAAAATGAACACAGATTTTACAGTTGAGATGTCTTGTGCTGGGTGATGCGGTGGCGCAGTAGGTAGTGTTGTCATCTCACAGCAAAAAGGTCACTGGTTCGAGCCTCGGCTGGCTCAGTTGGCATTTCTGTGTGAAGTGTGTATGTTCTCCCCGCATTCACGTGGGTTTCCTCCGGGAGAGTGTGTTTCTCAGTGAGGGTTGCAGCTGGAAGGGTATCAGCTGCGTAAAATTGATGTTGGAAAAGCTGGCGGTTTATTCTGTTGTGGCGACCCCGGATTAATAAAGGGACTAAGCTGAAAAGAAAATGAATGAATTAATGAAGTCTTGTGCTTTTGACGTTGTGCAGAGAATTTGCAGAAAAAGAGGACGTATGTATGGGTGCGGCCAATAAAGTACAAGTTAATTATCAGGCCTTTGCATTTCTATAAGCTTCATCTACTTCTGCAATATATATATATATATATATATATATATATATATATATATATATATATATATATATATATATATATATTTTTTTTTTTTTTTTTTTCCCCAACACATTCTTAAATTTGTGCATTCCCTCTAGTGTCAGCCCAGATTTTTAGTCCGTGTCAGCATGCTCACAGTTTTAAACTTCCATTTAAGTTGCAAATGTGAGGTGGACTTGAATTGAAAGAAGAGGTTTAGTGACCTTTTAATGCTTTGAGTTGCTTTAATGTGATTGGCTGACAGTGTTGGGGAGATTACTTTGGAAATGTAATAGATTACAGATTACAAATTACCCTATTTAAAATGTAATAAGTTACACTGCTTTTCGATTACTTTATAAAAGTAAAGTAACTACTTACTTTTGATTACTTTTAAGTGTTTAATGGACATTTTCAAATAAATCATTTTCAAGCATTTATACCGAGGACATGTTCCCCGCGCGATTTAAGCCTGTGGGTGCGCCGCAAATCAAAAGCATCAGAATAGCACCGCTTAAATAAATGGCCTCAGCAGAAGGCATCTTGCACATCAAAAACAAACAAAGCAACAGATAAATATTTTTCAACATATCCCAGATTAAAAAAAAAAAAACATTTTTAGATGTAACCCCATTTGTAATCTTTAACATTTTCACAAGTAACTGTAATTTAATTACACATTTTTTCCCAGTAACTGTAACAAATTACTGTTACTTTTATTTTGTAATCAAATTACGTAACGTTATTACATGTAATTAGTTACTCCCCAACACTGTTGGTTGATTAGATTTTTGAATGAATGAGTAGTTGAACAAACAGCCAACAGTGGATTCTCATGACTAAGGTTGACTGTTATCTGTTTTCTAGCTTGCTGCCTGGCCTGCGCGATTGTGACACAGATGATGATATTGCAATGCATTTCCTGAAAAACTCTGAAGGTTTCGAGAAATATCTCCAGTACCTTATTGGACAGTTGCAGGCAGAGTCCATCATCAGTGAAAAACAAGTGCACCAATATTTCAAGGTGTGTTTGTAAAATAGTAGCAGGTCTGTGACACAATGTTTTCAGTTTTCACAGGACACCGATTATAACATTTTTATACCTTTTATCCATCAGGATTATTCAGTCTCGGAGTTGGCAAATGTTGACCCCTCTGAAGGTCCAGTACTGAGTATCAATGCTTATCTTCAGAGACCACCTGAGAGAATTCAAAAGTACAGGGCTCTACTGAAGGTAGTTTAAACTTATATACATTTCATATATGTATGCATACAGTTGAAGTGAGAATTATTAGCAACCAGAATTATTAGCACCCCTGTTTATTTTTTTTCCCCAATTTCTGTTTAATGGAGGGAAGATTGTTTCAGCACATTTCTAATCATAATAGTTTTAAAAACCTATTTCTAACAACTGATTTATTTTATCTTTGTCATGATGACAGTAAATAATATTTGACTAGATATTTTTCAAGACACTTCTATACAGCTTAAAGTGACATTTAAATGCTTAACTAGGTTAATAAGGTTAACTAGGCAGGTTAGGGTAATTAGGCAAGTTATTGTATAATGATGGTTTGTTCTGTAGACTATCGAAAAAAATTAGCTTAAAGGGGCTAATAATTGTGTCCCAAAAATAGTTTTTGAAAAATTCTCAACTCCTTTTATTCTTGCCAAAATAAAACAAATAAGACTTTTTCTAGAAGAAAAAATATTGTCAGACATACTGTCAAAATTTCCTTGCTCTGTCAAACTTCATTTGGGAAATATTAAAAAAAGAAAAAAAAATTAAAAGGGGGCTAATAATTCTGACTTCAACTGTATATGTATAATGTAAAATATATTTAATATTTATTACATTATACAGTTTTAGTGTAAACCATATTATGCTTGTAGTTGGTATGTCAATCTCCACTTTCAAAGCGCTGTGTTTTCAAAATTCTATGTCGTGTTTTTAACTCATTATCAGTCAGCCATAGTGGAGCCACAGAATGTAAACAATGCCACTAAACTGGACGAAACTCACATATTTAGCTGATTGTTGCTGCTGGATATGATCAGATTAGATTGGATTCAACTTTATTGTCACCATTACACATGTACAAGTACAAGGCAACTACTGTAAATGCAGCAAGTGCAGGATGTAGGTATAGAGTGCAATTACTGTATAGAAAAAACTATGGTAATGTTTACAGATAGATGGACAGTACTAAGAATGTTATATACAGGGAGTGGCGGATTTAAGCATTGGCAATATGGGTAATCACAGCGTAAGCTTCAGCCAAGTCTGTGTATACACAGTCTAAAGTTTCCCTTCCTCTTTTATGACAGAAAATGTTTTGATGAAATTTGGGAAGCACTGCCTTTAGTTTTAAGTTTAAGATGAATTGTTGTCATGTTTTGGGCTGTATCACTCAGTCGAACTGAAAAAAAAAACATTCAGTGTAATAAGTAGACAGATTAAAGAGAAAATAAACTGAAGAAGGAAAGCTGTTTGTGATGAACAGTCCAACTGAAGAAGGATTTATTGGACAAGAATGTTGATGATTCCTGTTTGTTGTAATCATGTCCAGTCAAGTGAAATATTAGGCTAATATATTAAAGGGGTGGTTCAGAGTGTATTTTAAGGCTTGGTTGTGTTTATAACATGTTATAAACATCATTTGTAGAAAATCACGTTATTTTTTCATATATCTCACTTTGATTATATACAGCAACTCAGTTAACATGAAAAGGACTGTCATATTTCTTTGTTCCTCTAAAAAGGCCGCCCTCAAGAGGCTCTGATTGGTCAGCTAACATAATCTGCTGTGATTCGCAGATCGACTCCACATCACCAGGAAAAGCATCACGCCCCTACAAGCAAGCACTTCTGTGCTGTGTAAACGCTGTCAGTCAGAGTAGCTGTATCAGTTTGAGCCTGAATCAGACAGAAAATGAAGAGCACACAGCTGAACCTCACGCCTGCTCTCTAAAATAAAATCTGCCAAGTGTCTTTCACACATATATCCAGAATAAGCATGTGTAGGTAATAAAAAACGTTCTCATATCTTTAGCGAGTTTGTTATTTAAAATGTAGACGCAGGGAAAGCATCTGCATAGAGAGACACTGCAGCGCTGGTGAAGATTGAGTGTGTTTGCAGCTGTAAAAATTTGTAGCTAAATTGTTAGCGGAGCCAAACAGCATTTCCCGTTGTTTACATCCTTGTTTACGTCCTCGCTACAACATACCGTTAACGCTAGAAACTGTGTATGTTATAGATCAATTTTAACAAATAAAAATACTAACAGTCCACATCTTTGTCTATTATGGTTGGAGGAGTTTTTAGCCGAATCCAGCACTGAACTGGAAGCTGTCCTTTGTCAAATGCTAGCTATATATTTTTTATAATTCTCTAGAACATAATTAAAATAAACTGTAAGCACTTCTCTCTTTGTGTCGTGTCCTTTGGAAGGCCAAATACAGAAACAGACCTCTGGCCACGCCCCTTTGATGTGTGGGGTGTGTGCGCTTGGTGAATGTGCGTAACCCAAAGCGTTTATGATCTCAATAACACAGGTGTATTTTTTTGTAGTCTCCAAACTTCGTTCGCTGTAGGCTTTGCTAAGCTAACTCTGTAAAAGACTATGTCTCCCTTTGCATTACACTTTGAGCATATTACAGTCAGAGATGTTGTTGATGTTCACACAGCAACATTCCACATTGAATAAAGTTTTAAATATGATATAATAGTGGATCATCCCTTTAAATAATGCAGCTCTTTTACAAACTATTTAATTCACTGTGAAATTATACACCATTTCCCCCTTACTTAGCCCCTTTCTATATTATTTAGCAGCTTACACACTATTTGTACACTGTTTAGACAGCAAAATAGGAAGAACAGGGTGCTCAGTAGATAATTATGCTAATTTAAGTAGCATATTTAAAAAGAAACCAGAGGTAGACTTGAATTGAAAGAGGTTGGTTCCGTGGCTCTTTAGTGAACTATGCCGTTCATACTGTTGTTCATACACTGTTGTGTGTCACCAATATGACTGTGAACATTTGAGAAATTGACCAAATGTTGACATATTTGCAAGCCTCTATTTTATATAATAATAAAATGTACAATTCCCTATGATTTTATTCAGGAACTGATCAGAAACAAAGCAAGGAATGGTCAGAATTGCTGTTTGTTGGAGCAGGCCTATGCCATGGTGTCCTCCCTCTCCCAGCGCTCAGAAAACACACACCATGTATCCCTCATAGAGAACTACCCTGCCAATCTGGAGGCATTGGGAGAACCCATTCGACAGGTAAAATCCCCAGTTTCAGAACTCACTCCTCAAGGCACAAGATAATCGTACACTTTCTTGTACATGTTCTCTATCAGCCTGCCTGACTTGCTGGAATGTTTCACAATTATGCATTGAAATATTATGGCTTTTTATTCTCCAGTGTTTCCCAACCCTGTTCCTGGAGCACACCAGCAGTACATACTTTCATGTCTCCCTCATCTGACCCATGAAGTTCAAGATTCGGAGTCTCTTCTTATCTTCTGATGAGTTGCTTTAGATGTGTTTGATTATGGAGAGGTTGGAAATGAGTACTGTTGGTGTGCCTTCAGGAACAGGGTTGGGAAACACTTCTCTATACTTCATCTATGTTAAGCTGCTTAAATTGAATTGTGAATGTTACCTTGAGTGTAAAACGATGGATCATTTTCGTTCTGCAGGGACCTTTCACTGTTTGGGAAGGAGCTCCTGGAGTAAGAACATCTTCCAGAGGTCACCATCGCCACGTCTTCCTCTTCAAAAATCACGTGGTCATCTGCAAGCAGAAGAGAGACACAAATACAGACACCCAAACATATGTGTTCAAGAATATGATGAAGGTTGGAGCTTATAAAATACTTAATAGTTGAATACAGACAAATATCAGTCAAATGATGGGATAGTTCACCTAAATGATGACAATTTACTCCCCGTTTACTCACCCATCAAGTGGTTGTAAACCTATATGAGTTCTTTCTTCTAATGAACACAAAGAAAGATATATTGAAGAATGTTAGAAACCGGTAACCATTGACATACATAGTAAGAATAACAAATACTATGCAAGTCAATGGTTAGAGGTTTTCAGCATTCTTCAAAACATCTTCCTTTGTGTTTAACAGAGTAAAGAAAGTGGAGGAATAGTAAATGATGACAGATTTGTCAGTTTTGGGTGAACTATCCCTCTTTTTTAATCATCTGAATCCTTCTTTTGTCTTAGCTCACAAACATTGATGTGAACGAGACGGTGGAGGGCGACGAGAGAGCGTTTGAGATCTGGCATGAGCGTGAGGACTCTGTGAGGAAATACACACTGCAGGCCCGGACGGTCATCATCAAGAACTCATGGCTCCGTGACCTCCGTGACCTTCAGCAGAGATACAGCATGCCAACATGGTGTAAGTGCAACTTGGATGTTAGCATGTATTGGGCTAGTTTCCCATAGCCATTTTTGCCATTTTTTCCATAATTTTTTTTGGGCTGAAATTGCTGAAAAACGTGCTTAATATGAAAGGTATAGTTCATCCCAAAAACATCTGCCATTATTTACGCTTACTTGCTGCAAACTTCAAAGGTCCAGTTGAACACAGAAGAAGATACTTTGAAGAATGCTGAAATCCTGTAACCATTGACATCCATAATATTTGTTTTTCCTACTATGGATGTAAGATGTTCATTCATTCATTCATTCATTTTCTTGTCGGCTAAGTCCCTTTATTAATTCGGGGTCGCCACAGCGGAATGAACCGCCAACTTATCCAGCACGTTTTTACGCAGCGGATGCCCTTCCAGCCGCAACCCATCTCTTGGGAACATTCACACACTACGGACAATTTAGCCTGCCCAATTCACCTGAACCACATGTCTTTGGACTGTGGGGGAAACCGGAGCACCCGAAGGAAACCCACGCGAAGGCAGGGAAAACATGCAAACTCCACACAGAAACGCCAACTGAGCCGAGGTTCGAACCAGCGACACAGCGACCTTCTTGCTGTGAGGCGACAGCACTACCTACTGCGCCACTGCCTCTCGTAGAGGCAAATGGTTACGCTCTCGTGTAGAAATGGTTACGCGGTCAAACAACTTTACCGAAGCCTCTCTAGTTGACGGTTTGTCTTGCGCGTATGGAAGGATATTTCAGACAATTTTCAAATGCAATTCC